GCCGATGATAATGATAACCATGATATCGGCGATAATACCCATAAGGTCGTGCAGAATTTGACTCGATCGCCGCTACCTCCGGTGCCTGTTCTCACAAGTTTCAGGATCCATCTTATGCGCTGGAGTCTATCTCTGTTGTATGACTCATGATTGCCTAAGCCTCTTCCCTCGGAGGGCTTCAATATTCTGTCAGCACTCATGACTACGTATTTGATCTTCTGAGCAGGGGCTGTTCCCTAGCACGTCCTGCCTTGTGTCTATCTGCAGGAAGAGCCAGGAGTGCGTTGTCCTCGACTCATTCAAAAAACAACAATGATCATCATCAATAATCATATTAGCAACGCAATGTTTTTTGCAAGTAGGGTTCAGGGTTAATGGTTTAGTGGTATGGCTGAATACGACTCAGGGTTCTGACAATAAGAGCACAGCTCCTGAGACAAGTGCAGGCTCTGCATGCTCAGCAACTCAATGCAAAGCAAATCTCACAATCTGGAATGCTCCGGATATGCTAGATGTTCTGTGGCCTTCCTGTTTTCCGCACAAACCTTTCAGCACATTTGTCCCGTGGATGGGTTATGGCGGCTATGGTTCTCAGAGCATGATAGGGATGGCTAGTCATCAGTCTCTGCAGGATTGGTGATTTGCCAATTTTCTTTGCTGTCTATGGCTTCAGGCTCAATAAGCAGTCATTGTTGCTTGTGGTCCGCGCAAAAAACAGCGAAAAGCAGAAACAAGCACGATGGACAGAGCAACACCAACATAACCACCACCACAACCACCACCACCACCAGCACCACCATCACTGCAACGGCGACGAGCATCACGACCACCACCACCACCACGCCAGCAAGCCACCACCACCACCACCACCACCACCACCATCTGCAACGGCGACGAGCATCACTACCACACTACCACCACGCCAGCAAGCCACTGGCCACCACCACCACCAGAAGAAGAAGCAGAAGAAGAAGAAGAATAAGAAGAAGAAGAAGAAAAGAATAGCCACACCACGGGAACAATATGAAAACTGAAGGCATCTACATGAAGCAACCGCAAACCTAGAAAGCATTGACCAGAAACAGTAGGCCCACAAGTTTTTGGCACATTAGCAACTTGCTGGTCCAGTTTGCCAGCAGGCTGCGGCTTCATCTTTGAACAAAAGGACTTGAAAGCAACAAGCCTTTTTCACATGGCTGGAAAGCTTGTGACTTATAAAAAACTTAAGGCTTCACCACGCCCTGTCCTTCAACAAGGTGCGCCTTTTTTTGAGGTCTATCATACCCTAAACTCTAAACCCTGAAAGCCTGAACGCCTGAACCCTAAGCTCTAAACCCTAAAACCCCAAACTCCTAAATCCTAGAACCCTAAACTCCGAAACCCTGCTTGGAAGCAGCCGGAGGCTTTTGCTAACATTCCTTGGACCCAGAAATGACCCCGAGAAGCTCAGGCATCCTTCCATGCTCCAACAGCAGTTGCACTCTGATCTCATTACCAGTGTACATAAGCCCTGGAATTCTGAAACCTATCAAGCTTGATCTGAAAACAACAACTCTGAAAGACACTGAACAAACCTGTCGATCTTGCTGCTGTCCTCTGTCTCATCGCACCTGCCAGGCTTGATGCCAAGAGCCTATGTTTTGCACCCCCGCATCGGATAGCCCCAGGCCAATCAGAGAGCAGCGCTCTTTAGTAATGAAGGATACTGCACTAAAGCAAAATCGACACGACAAGTAACATCTTCGGAGTACGTCGGGGCAAGCAGTTTCTTGACAAGACATACAAAAAACACGATGGAGAGTTTAACAGCCTCACGGTGCTGTGGCATTTGTGGGCTCCCTCGACTTTAGGCCATCTTATGGGGCTTAACAGGACATGAGAATTAGCAAGCCGTTTGGGCACGCCGCTTGGCGACGCTTCCGAGGCTGAACCTCAAAGTCTGACCCCCACAGCTCTGACCTTGCTGTACGCATAAACCCTTGATCCTAATCTTCGTGCTGGGGGCCACCTAGACCTGCAGGGCACATTGGGATGTTCCCCCTTATGCTAAAAGTCCTGAATAGGGAATAGAATAGGGGGTACTCGAATTCCTGTTAAGGACTGTTAGTATCAGGGGGAACATCCCAAAGTGCACATCTCAACCACTAGTCGTGGGCAGCGGCTAACACGCACATGTCGCCAGCCTGGTGTCTGCCTTCGTGTCGCATGTCTCTCCCCCGGCACTGAAAAGCAAAAGTACGTTCCTTGGCTGCTTCGGGTAAAGCAAGACCTGGATCGCTAGAGTTCGAGGGCTTTCTTGGAAGTATGCGTCCGTACACAAAGAACAAACCGTGGCACTGCTCATTCCCAAAGGGGGGTTTTCCGAAATTAGGGGTCCTTTTTGTAAGGGCATCCCACTATCTTGGGGCCCTATATCCCTAAACCCCAATCTCCCAAACCCTAAACCCTAAACCCTAAACCCTAAACCCTAAACCCTTTTCGTAAATCCCCAAACGGTCCCAAGACAGCAAAGCCTCACCAAAGCGACGGCCTTGGCCATGGCAATGGCCTCAGGCAACCTGAATAAGGTGGCTTCTCGCGTTGTGAGCCCAGGTTTCAAGCGGCCCAGCGTTGCATATCGTGGATAACTTAGAACGAGCTGCGCATGTATACTTTTTGGGATTTTGTTGCAGCAGTTTTGCATGAAGAATGAAACCGTTCTGGACGTGTATTGCATTTATTGTCGTGCGTATTGCATTTAGGGCTTCTGTTTGCGTCATAAGGGAGACCAGTGTTCGTTTGCTGAAGCAGCTGCATTGCTTGTGCTTTCTGACTGACAACTTCACCCCGACACCTGTGCAGCAGATCGCTGCTCAAGATCCAAATCTGCGCTAACTGCGAAAGCTTTCACACATGCTGCAGGCATAAGCCCTGCAGAATCTCAAAGGTGTCCCTGCGGTGCATGCGGAAGCACGTGCACCATTTTCAGTGGGTGCACTGGCCCAGACGAAACTTTGTACCGGCATGCACGGTGCAGACATTCTGAGGAAGCTTCTGATACGTCAGCGCACACACACACACACACGTGTACTTTCATGATCTACGCACTGCCTACACAAGCGATGTCTCAATCTGCGGTCAAAAGGTTTTCTGCTATCCTCGTGTCGCTGCCACAAAAGGCTGCCACAAACTGCAAGGTGCTGAGTGATAAAGATTGAGCATTGACTCAAATAATGAAAGAGGTGATAAGTGTAACTTTTGAATTTGAATACAGGAGGACATAATTGGATCCAACGCGCTAGGCTGCTAGGCAGTTCCACGAGTAGTGACCGACAATTATGTTTCATCACCTTTCCTTGATTTGAACCTTTGTGATGTGTACAAAGCAAGTTTTGCTTCTGTAGTAAAACATTTAGATAAACAAAAAGATGTTGTGTCAATTCGTCTCGTTCCGTTTTAGAATCCTAGTTTTTCTTTTGCTCAAGCCTTCTCCGCCAGAATTTTTTCGCGAAACCTAACCCTCTAACTCAACAAACGCCTACCCTTCGGATGTAGTTTACTCCTGTGCGTTTGACGAGGCGAACTTCTGTCAGCCTCGTTGTTCTGGGGAGCAAGAAGAGATCTGCAGCTGAAGGGGTTTAGGGCTATCGGGGATTAGGGAGTAAGGGCTTTTGAATTTGGGAGTCAGGGTTGGGGGGGTTAAGCAAGCAGCTGCGGGCCCGCGTCGGTGCCTTGAGATTCGTTTCGTGCGAGAGGTCGTCGATAGGGTTCGAATACATACGAAACCTTGGTGCCTTGAGACGCGTTTCGTGCGAGAAGGTCGTCGATCGCGATTCGGAAACGTACGGAACCTTGAGTTTCCGTGCCTTTAAGTTGCACATCCAGACCAAACCAACTTCGCGGATCTCAGGAACTGAAAGACTTCTGGCGCAACACTAAAGGTCGAAAGGTTTGTGGATCGAGCTGTTCCAGCTGAAACAAGCCTCCCAAAAGAAACCCTAAATGCAATCTTATCAGCAAGTACTCATGGCCGCAACCCCTTTTCACGACTATATACTATCATCAAGGATGAGCACTTGCTACTACTTAGACCGATTAGGGAGTAAGTTCGCTTCAGGTAGTCAGCAAGTGCAGCTGGGTACTTTTTCAAAAGTATTCGTAGTTAGTAGAAAAGCTTAAGGATCCGGAGAGGACGTCAATAAGGTTTCGGACATGGATGCGCTCGCAGAACAGACGCGCGCGGAGACAACGTCACTAAGGGTTTCGGACATGAGAATTTAGAAATCTAGTCCTAAAATACTATCAAATTCCATGATTCGATTTCGCAATTTCGTCTCATCGAAAATTTCTCAATTCTCTCAGACATCCTTTTGATGAACTGACTGGTAAGTCTAGTATTCTGCATCCAACTAGATTTTGTCATATGCGATTGCATATCTTAATAATAGTACTTTTCAATAACAAATCCTACTGGTAACTCTGACCACCTCTTTTCTACAGGCAGAAAGTTTGGTGTGCTGGGCGTTCGCTCGGCAAAACGTTGCAAAAAAGGATGCGGTGACACGCAGCAGGCTCTTCCAACAAGTCAAGCATCTCTAAACGCAATGCTGCAGAAGGATGCAGAAGGTGCCTAACGATGGAAGATTTCAATATGTCCAGCATGCCTGCTTGCCAAATGGGCAGAAGCCATCTGATGTGCTAAGATATGCTAAGATCAGGGTGCCTAGGGCACGTCAGAGCGGTATGTTTATAAATTAATGCACAAATACATGTCATTGACAAGACCTGTGCGTTCTTCGCCAGGAATCTCCCGAAAAAAATTGCACGAAAGCTTGAAGCTGAAAGGGCTGCGGCCGCCATCTTCCAGCGGAGGCCGCGGGCCACAGAAGGACTCTGTCAGAGCTATGCCAATGGAAAACGTCCACGTCTTTTCAAGTGCCATGGTGCCACAACACAGGGCTCGTGGCGCCAAATTCTCTTGCAGCATCCGTGCACTGGAGGTAACATATGTAACATCTGCCTCATACTTCATCATCGAAGCGGCGTATCCTTGATCTCGAGTTTGTCGACAACCGGCGCGCAAAATTTGTGGTCATACCACGGCCTGGCCAGGAGCCGTATGGAGGCCCACTATTACGCAGAGTTGTCCATTGTTGAGAGTTACCCGGCATCCTGCGAAGTTTGGGGGTTCCGGGACCCTGACCAGCAGGTTCGAAATCCTCAGGCTCCTCAGCCCCCAGGGCCTGTTTCCCAATACTTTCTGGACCATGGCTTTGTCTAAATTCCCGTGGGCATCTCCTTTACGAAAGGCCCAAACAACCTCTCAATGGATCCCGCATATTCTTCGGGCAATCCGGAACGATCGGGAGCCCTTAAGGGAGTGGCAAAAACCCAACATTTCAGGGTTGGAGCCCTTCAGGCCCAAGGGCCATGCGGCATGCCCTCAAATGCCTAAAAAGCCTGAAGGTCGGAAGCCGGGGCCCCCAAAACTGGGGGAATTAAAGGTTAACCTTCGGGATTCTAAGGGGATGATCTTACTCCAAAAGAAGGATAAATGCTACCTACTCTACTACTAGGACCAGTTTGTGTCTGCCGCCTGCTAAGAACTCACAAAGGTCGTGGAGGACCGCGTGCAAGCTCGAGAACTCGTCTGCGGTGAACTTGCGTAAGTTCACGACATCTTTCACTGTCGTCTGATTGGAACCTGAACGCACAGCCGTGCCGCCACAACGGCCGCAGGTCACACGAAGGTTCTGCACTGTGAGTTGTGTCAAGCAACCAATACAGCAGATGTAGAATCCAACCAGGCTCAGAATGAATGATCCGCCGACCCCCTTTGTCGGCGTCAAGAAGCTGGACTCGTACCTTTCCCGCTGGACCCGCTAGTGCCCCTCCCCATGGACCCGCGCGGCCTCCCCCCCCCCCTACCTACCCCCACCCCGTAGCCCGCCCCCCCTCCCCCCCCAAAAGCAACCGAATTTGTTTTGGCGGGCGGAGAAGAGGGTGGAACCACGCGTTTTGTGTTGGCTGCACCCTACCCCTGCCTAGCCCCCCCCACAGGTGAAGGACCAAAAGCAACCGAATTTGTTGTTTTGGAAGGCGGCCAAGTGCGTTTTGTGTTGGCTGCACCCCACTACCCCCCAAACCCACAAACAACCCCCCCCTACCCTCACCCCGTACCCCCCCCCCCCTCCCCCCCCCTGCCTAGCCCCCCCACCCCTTACCCCCCTGCCTAGCCCCCCCCCACAGGAAAAGGACTAAAAGCAACCGAATTTGTTGTTTTGGAAGGCGGCCAAGTGGGTGGAACCACGCGTTTTGTGTTCGCTGCACCCTACTACCCCCATACCCCCCCCCCCCCTCCCCCCTACCTCACCCCCGTACCCCCCCTACCCCCCTGCCTAGCCCCCCCCCACAGGAGAAGGACCAAAAGCAACCGAATTTGTTGTTTTGGAAGGCGGCCAAAAACCACGCGTTTTGTGTTGGCTGCACCCTACTAAGCCCCTCCCCCCCCCCCCCCAGAAAGGACCAAAAGCAACCGATTTTGTTTGTGGAACCCCGCGTTTTTGTCTGGCTGCCCCTACTACACCACCCCCCCCCCCCCCCTCCCACCCCACCTCCCCGTACCCCCCCCCTACCCCCCTGCCTAGCCCCCCCCCACAGGAGAAGGACCAAAAGCAATTGTTTGTTGTTTTGGAAGGCTCCAAGTGGTGGAACCACCTTTTTTGTACCTACTCCCCCCCCCCCCCCCTCCCCTCCCTCACCCCCGCACCCCCCCCCCCCCCCTCCCCCCCCCCCCTACCCCCCTGCCTAGCCCCCCCCCCACAGGAGAAGGACCAAAAGCAACCGAATTTGTTGTTAAGCGGGTGGGTCCGGAAGAGGGCCCGGTGCCCGGACGTCCTTATCTTGGGGGTCGGCGGCAGCGGCGTCAGCCTTTAAATCGGGCAGCGCGAGGTCCCCAAAGGACCGAGCAAATGCGGACCTTTTAGCCCGGGTCGTCCCGGGAATAGCCTTGCTGGCCTCTGGCCTTCTGCGAAGCAGAATTAGGCCGAACGCCAGTGCCGCCGACCCCCGCGTGCCGCCGGTGAACGGTTTTTTTTTCGTGGTTTTTTGCGTCGCCACGGAGGCCCCCAGAGGGCGCGCATCATGAGCATCAGCGGGTCCAGCCCGGGACCCCCAGGCGCGCATCAGGAGCATCAGCGGCTCCCGGGGCGGGACCCCGGGGGCGCATCAGGAGCATGATGCGGGCATAGGCGATGTGTCTAAGCCCGGGGCTAGGAAAAGGGGAGTTTAGGGGCCTTATAAAGTGCTTAGAAACGTTAAGGGAGTCTAGGAGCCTCAAACGCTTAGAGATTTGAAGGGAGTTTAGGGGCCTGAAAATGCTTAGAAACTTAACGCTTAGAGATTTTAAGGGAGTTCAGGGGCCTCAGCATGCTTAGAAACTGCTCGCCCCGGGCTTCTGCGTGCGCTGCCCGCCCATGGGCGCAGCCCCTTAAATAAAAAAAGCTGCCAGCTGCTGGGGCACAAGGGGATCAAGCGCAGGTGCAAAACTGTAAGAAACAAACCTGCGCCTGCTGAGGCTATGTCCGAACAACTTCCCAAGAGGTTCCAACAAAAGCTTTTCGATCGAAATGCAGAAGAAAGGGAGAACACGGCTGAGTAGAGCCGCACTGTCAAGTGCACAATTTAAGAGCACAGCCCACCTCACCTTCAACAACACCTTTATAAACAGGAATTAGGAGCCACGGAGGGTCAGTATCGCGTCCATGAACTCTCCAAACGTGAGTGGCTGGCCATCCTCGAAAAGAAGCCTCGGTGGCTGAGCGTTTCGTTCGTTACACTGCGCCACTCAACCCATACTCGCTGCTGTGTAGCCGGGATTTCATCTCTAACAACATGAGTCCGAACAGCAGTCGCACCGATTGTTCAATCCTAGGTGAGGGGCTGTCCGTACTCCATCGCAGCATATGTGTCGACACCCAAGCGCATGAGGGCCACGGAAGCTTCTGGTCGCTCCAGGAGCCTCCCATCATCGTGTGCAGTACATGTTGTTGGGAAGAGCTTGCTCAAATGGCTCTGCTGCCCAAAGCGGAAAAGCGTAGGAAATGTTCACTCTCAAAGCTGCCGGGCCTGACAAACTCGTCTTCTGAGATTCGGTTGTCCCCATCTTGATCTGCATTCCCTTCCATCATCATCTCCCACAACACCTTTGTGCGATCGCCACATGCATCCACAGGACAAACTGACCTACGATGCGATGCCATGTACCGGGGTGCCTAAGCCCACTAAACCTTTCGAGAGCACAGCTTGATGCACCTAAAGTCCCGCATTGGTTTCATCAGGATGTGGTGGCAGCATGTGTTCAGCCCAGGCAAGTGGTACCAATGTGTTGGATGACTGTATTCTGCCACACAGGAGACAGGCACACGGCCGGTGCGAAACTTTGTCAGCCTGCTGCACAAAGAAACGGTTATTGTGCGCGTGCAATAGTCTACAATAACAACCACTACAAGCGCACCTCTAACTGGTCCAAGATGCTCTCTTTGCAAAATCCACATGAATTTGCTCGTGCTCCATGGTTGCCACAGTCTGCACTGCCTCAACCAGTATGCCCACGAGCATGTTCATGACGATGAGGGAGCCAACCAGAACATACACGATCACTAAGGCACCCAAAAACCAGCGCTCTCCATTGTCCCCCGTCACGCCATCGAAAAACTCCTTCTGGTCTGGCATGATACAGTAAACAATGAGCGTCAAGACTGACTGTGGCATAGTCGGAAAGTATGTCTGCAGCATTTCTTCATTATAAGCCTGACTTAGCTGCAGAAAGGCGATGCTGAACACATAGGTGATCAACAGCAGCAGCACCATAGTGAAGAAGACGGAACGCGCCGCCACGACAAGACCTTTGACCAGTATCATCAGCTCTGGCATATACCGGGCTACCCTCATAATCCGGGCCGTGCGCAGCACTCGAAGAACGCGGGCAATGCGGAGAACGGTGGCGCTTCGACCAACCGCTGATGATCCTCCAGCTCCCGACCCCTCGATCATCAAAGCAACTACGGGGACGAGCCATGTCTCGAGCACCATCAAGGCGACCAAAACGAAATCAAAGAGCAACCATGAGTCCCTGATGGCATGCCTGAAGCCCGGCTGAGCCATGTAACGTACTACAAATTCACTGGTGAAGTAGACCAGGAACACTATTTCCATCGTCACAAAGACAGGAGCGGCCTCAAACACCACAGCTGAATCATTGAACTCGATGTCAACTGCAATCCACACCGCATTCACGTAGATCATGAACAACGACATGCGCTCGAAAAAGGGATGTCGAGCCACTCGATCCCACCAGGTTGGAGACAACTTGGACTTCGGTGATCCGAAATTCTCAATCGCAGCCTTCCGCACAATATCTGTAGCATGGGCCGCATTCAGTTGAGAAAACACGCGCCCCTCGTCGGGGTCCTCAGAAGTTGAAGTCTTTCGCAGAGATCTTGCCTCGTGCTTGTGTATCCATGGCAGGTTCTTCTTGCGCTCTTTGGCCACCGTGGGCAAACTGGCGAAGGTGCGGACGGTAGCGTCGTCATCCTGCTCCATCGTGCCTGGAAGCTTGGAGCAGGAGATATCCACTTCACTTCCCCAAGCAGCAGCTGGTCCCAAGGCACCCTGGACAGTGACCGGCACAGGCAAGATGGATTCCTCTACGTCCGTCGCCAAAAGCTCTGACGGGATCAGTGGTGCGGCTGGGCTCGCCACCGCTAAGTTTTTGATCCGGTTCAGCTCATCGTCCAGCTTTCGGAGGACTAACTTCTGATTTGCGGCCAGCTCTGATCTGAAGCCCCCAAGGGCATCCAGCACGGTATGGTGCGTTTCCCGCGACTTCGGACTCAGGGGCATGCTTTGCTCACGGCGCAAGGAGTTCGACGCCGCAAGTGTGCGGTATTGTTGTCTGTGAACTGAGTGCTCTGTGAGAAATGTCAGACTTTAAGCATGGCTTGTATGATGTCTTGCAGAGTAACAAGGCTTCTGTAAGCTGCGAAGCAATTGTCAACCATCTTTTGAACACAACTGCAGAACTCAGCCACGCGTGCTCCAGCACACAGCGCTGTAAGGCGCAGCATTCAGCAAGCAAATAGCAGCGCATGTCTCAAGCAGCGACAGAAGGAGTCAAAAGTACGAGGAGCTTCTTGACGAAAGAACTTCCATTACATAGTAAGCCCCATGACTGTCGGTCTCCGCTCTTCGGTAATGCTTTTTTCGATGCAAGAGAGATCAGATACAAAAACTCAGGCTCGGATGCAGCTACGCTGTGGGGCGTTGAATTCTCCAGCACACAGCAGAAGTTCTGAAGCATTCGCTCATGCCCTCATTCTCCGAGCCGGGGCCTTCTGACGTTAAAAACGGGCCGAAGCATGTTTGGTGAGACACAAGCACAGTCGGGCTCCATGTATCCTCGATGCTGCGCATCTTCCGCTCCTTCAGAGGGAAGACTTGGCAAGCATTGGATAGCAGTGGGAAACAGTGTGTTCATCGGCCTTCGCAAAATCGTGTGAAGCTCTTTGAGGCTCTATAAGCCTCTATACGTTGCGAAATCTTATCAGCCACAGTGTACAGTAGCTCACAACGGTTCTTAGGTGTACTGCCATCGAGCCCGTCATGACAAAGGCCGGCACTTTCAAATATTTACCCGCACCGCAACGGTTGAGTGTCACAAGAGCACGCAAGCTTGTCTGAAGCATGTGGGAACTTACTGCTCCCATTCGGCACCAACGCGTCGGGCAAAAGGCACATGCGTGTGCATGCCTTATCGGCGACATGCACCTGTATCGGGCAAACAGCCTTGAATGGCAGTGAGACGCTAAAGTGCGCTCTCTGCGCAAGCGGGAGGATCACTCAGCTGTCATGCACACCCAATCTCAGCGGGTCTCAAGCAAGGCTTTGTTTGCTTCCACGTCCCTGCACAGCTCGCCAATGCGACGGCTTTACATAAAACTGAAATCAGCTCACTCGGAGCTAAAGCAAAGTCAGCAATGCAGCAACCCTTGTCGACATGCCTTCGTCACGTTTGAGGCTGGCTTGGCAAGGTGCTCATTGATGCTCTCCCAGCAGGACCTGAGCTCAGCACCCTGGCAACGTCATCCTGCTAAATACACTGCATGCCTTAAGTTGCCGCTACGGGACGCAACTCGTCAGACCGGTTGCCCACTATCTGGAACAAGTCCATGAGGATAGTATGCAAATTCGAGAACTCTTCGGCCGTAAACTTGCGCAAGTTGACGATGTCCTTCACGGTGGTCTGGTTTGAGCCTTGCTCAGGGAGCTTGCCGAAATGCCGAATAGAAACAAGATGAGAGGCTGAATGCTGGGAAGGCGGTACGAAGCTGCGACCATCTGCGAGACAAGGAACCACGAAGGGTCAGGATGGATTCCATAAACTCTGGGAAAGTCAACGGCACTTCGTCCTCAAAAAGTAGCCTTGGAAAGGTTCAGATTGAGTATCGTGCATTCTGGGCACAAACCTCGAAGCCATGGTCCCACCCCACTCAGCATAGCTCAGCTAGCTTTGCCCAAGTCGCTTTCCATATTCGCGAGCAGCGAAGATGTCGACACCCAGCCGGGTCAAAGCACTGAAAGCTTCCGGTCTCTCCAGCAGCCTGCTAAAGCTCAACCGGCAAAAGCTCCAGGACGCACAATACAAAAGCGCTGACTGGCCTCTCAAACTCACCTTCAGAAATCAAGTTGTCCCCATCTTCGTCGGCATTTCCTTCCGAGATCAAGTCATGGAGGACCTTTGTATTTCGGCCGCTATGAACAAAGAGCAGCTCCAATATGCTGTCACAGGCCAAACATTGAAGGATTCAGTTGTGCCAATGGAGCCAAGGTGCTCTTTGCGCGAAGTCCACATGGATCTGCTCGTGCTCCATTGTAGCGACTGTCTGCACAGCCTCTACCAAGATGCCGACTAACATGTTAAGAACAATCAGCGACCCGGCCAATATGAAGATCAAGAACAACGCAGCCATCACCGCGTTCTCCTGCGCAATGCTCTGAAAGAAGGCCTCCGAATCCGGCATTGTACACTGTACCAAAAGCCTCAACACTGTCTGGGGCATTGATGGGAAGAGTAATAGCTCTAGGTCCGTGCCCTGGCTGAGCGTCACCAAGGCTATGCTGAAGACATAGGTCATGAGAAGCAAGAGGACCAAAGTGAAGAACACGGATCGCGCGGCCACGATGAGCCCTTTGATCAGGATCATGAGCTCCGGCATGTAGCGTGCAATCCGTGCAATTCGTGCTGTGCGAAGCACGCGCAGCAGACGCACAACGCGTAGCACGCTAGCAGCACGCCCGAGGCCCCCAGCTTCACTAGATCCGGCCATCAAAATGATGGCGGGCACAAGCCATGTCTCCAGCAGCATGAGCAGTACAAGCCCGAAGTCAAACAGAAACCAATAGTCTTTCAGCAAGGCCTTTTTACGCTGCTGCGCCCAAAACCGAATGAACAGCTCAGCCGCGAAGTAGACCAGGAACAAGGCTTCGACCACAATTGTTCCCGCACCCGCTTGCAGAAGTGTCTCGGCATGGTTGATCTCGATATCAACGGCAATCCACACAGCATTCAAACAAATGACGAGCAGCGACACGCGCTCAAAGCATGAGTGTTGAACAATGCCCGTGCAACAGTTCACGTAGGAGTCAGTGTGTGGCTCTGGACCAAACTTGGAAATTGCTGCTTTGCGAACCGATTGGGCCGCATACTCTGGGTTGAGCTTGGAGAAGACACGATTCTGTTCATCCTCCGAGGTCGTCGAAGATCTTTTCACTCCCTTGCCCTCTTCAACTTTGCGGATCCATGCCATGTGCTTCTTCCGCGCCTCGGCGATAGTCGTGAAGGTTGCAAGGGAGGCCGAAGCTTGAATATCATTGGCATCACTTTTTGGACTTTTTGGTGAGGTTGGTGGTTGCTCCTCCGTTTCCTCGGGCATGCCAGGAAGCTGCATCGGAGACGTCGCAGCCACATCCTTCACCTCTTTCGACCCGCGAGAGCTTTCCCTTGAACCCGGGGGGCGCGCCTCCAAAGTGGCAAAGTCTGTAGGGCCCAGGGAATCACCCGAAGCCGAGCACAAGCTTTGGATACGTGCCAGCTCTGCATCCAACTTGAGAACAAGATGTCGGTGTTCAGTGAACAACTCCTGGCGGAGAGCTGCTAGGGAGCCTGCTGCCGCTTTCAGGCTCTCACTGGACTTCCGCGGCAAGGGCATGCTGCAATGGCCGGGTAAACTACGTGCTAATGGTGGGAAGGACGCGCTTGCCAAATACTTGCTGGATCCTGCAGGTTGCATGTTCCTTGGAGACAGTTCTTTGAAGCTCTTGACCTGCTGTCGTCCACCTACAACATCTCCTCCGCTTGATTGGGCCAGGCAATCAACGCAGGAGCTGGTGAGATCTCCCACCTGCGGTCACTCGAGACTGTGCTAAGTGCAAGAACAAATCTTCTTTTGTGCCCGTCTGCCAGTTCTGGGCTCTCATGCTGCTTCTTAAGTCTCACTTTCCAGTCCAGCTTCTGCGCCGCAACGGCTCGTCAGGCGGATGCCAGACTCTACTTTGCTTTGCAGTGTTTGACTGGCTGCGAGCTTGCGAACCATTCTGAGTTGCTTGACACATAAAAACGGTCTCTTTGAGTTCACATTCTTGCGATCTGACTTTCTCGGGACTAGAGTGCCTTGAGCAGAACAAGGTCGAGGTCGTTCAAGCCAACATCGCTCAACTCAAAGCTGCACTTGCCCAGGCTTCTCACAACTGAATCACAACTGCCGGTTTCCATCCCCTACGGGAAGATGTAACCATGCACGCATCACGCCAAATCCCGTTTTTGTCTGTGCTGCACGTTGAATTCAACTCGGGCTTTGAACTATGGTTTTTCTGTCACCCAGAGTGTTGACGCCGGTGCTCCCTCGAGCAATCCAGTTGATGGAGCCTATGCAACATTATGTGGGATGCCTTCAAAGATCTAACTCTACAACCCTAAACCCTTAACCCTACATCTTCAATTGTAATCTTCAATAGGCTGCCATCCTTGAAGCTTGGCGATAAGTGCTGAGTTCGTTTTTGGCGCTAATCGCGGCAAGCTCGGATGAAACTTAGAACAGATCGCTTAGCGATAGGAGTTGCATGCTGGCTCTGTGCTTTGGGAAAGGGCTCAGGTTTCAGATTGACTTTTTGGGCCCGGTCGCTTGAACGACAGAGTTTATTCCTGAGGCCGGGGGGACCTTGAATTTGGCGAGAATTGGCTAGAGACTTCGCTCTTTTGGTGGGCACGCGGGGTGGGTCGGGGGGGTGGGGTGGTGGAGTGGTTCTCTGACATCAGAGGTGAAAGATTGAAGAATTCATGAATACGTGATACTTCTGTTGGCTATCCGTTGAAGACGTTTGGCTCTTCACTTCCAAAGCACATGTCATACATAGGTTACATCGCCAGCACACTGACGTGCATTGCACATTCAACTTGTGCATGCGAGGTCTTCGACGATGTTCTGCGCCTCCAAGGAATTGACCGCAGGCGTGACAGCCCGAAGCCAGGACACTGGAACATGCTTAGCAGATACATGTGCCCTGGGAAAGCAGGTGGCTATCTTCGCTCCCCGCAACTTCCCACGTCTTCCTCCAACGGAGCAAAGAAAAACAGCACATATGTCGAGCTGTGGACGAACAAACTAGCGCCATTGAGCTTATATATATAGCGAGGGAGGCAGTTCGTTGGGCCAGCGGAAGTTCACACCGCAAGACAGGGTTGAAATCATTTACATGGGCAGCATGCGGGTGATGCAGTTGCAGCGCTGTGCAATGCAAACCTGGTCATGATCTTTCCTCAATTTGTGGGACTTCCCATCTTCTGGCTCTGCAGTTCGGTCTTCTTTACTCGGCCTGGGGTTTGGAGTTCTGGAATGCTGTCCTGGGGGTTAAGACATGCCACGGCAATAGCTTACTTTGGTGAACGAACTACCAGCACATCACTCCTTGCGGTCAGCCCCTACCATCTCAGGGGACAGATCCTGGGCAAGCTTCTCAGACAGCCCGTGACCTCGGCATTCTGAGCTTAGGATGTTAACCTGTCTATTCAGAAGTACCGAGACTTCAGGAAGCGGGTCCACAGTTGCCATTTTCAAGGCGAGATCTTGTCCTTGTGTGCCCTTGCTGTAATTGCCACGTTGTCCTACTCATTATGTCTTCTGTTCTAAGCCCAAGATGATGCTGGTGAAAGCTGCCAGGGGGCCCGCCAGGAAGCGACACACATCCATGAGAACCGCGTGGAGTTGCGAGAACTCGTCTGCGGTGAACTTTCGCAGGTTGACGACGTCCTTGACGGTGGTTTGATTGGAGCCCCGGAGTGTGAGCATGGCGTCCATAAACTCCCCGAAGGTGAGAGGCTCACCATCCTCGAAGAGCAACCTGAGGAGAAGGCAGGGTTTAATCGCTCACACTCGGACAAGCCAGGCGAGGCACGGGTTTAGGGTTTAGGGTTTAGGGTTTAGGCGCACTGAATCAAACCCGTAGGTGACCTAAGGTCACCAAATGGTCCAAGCCTAAGGCCTTAGCTAAGGTTTTCCTTCTTCCAACAGGCCTTTGTGATCCCCGGCATTCTAGTCTGCAAGACGCTACACGAAGTCCTCTTTTTCGCGGGATGATAGGAGGAGCGAGTGCAGACACTTGCACACACACACACACAACTTGCATTTTCAATTTCATATGACGTGTGTGTGTTGGCTGTTGCATCTTCAAAGATCTGCGTCGTTAGCACATAGTTCTCACTTCTTGCCGATGCTTGAGTTTGGCTGCCTACGCAGGTTTCCACATGCCCTCGAGGACAGACTCACTGCCATTCACAGGCGCGAAATGCAGGATAACACACAGGGCTCTTCGCCCGATGGACGGCAGCGATATGCAAAACCCTCCAATCCATAATCTGATCAATGTGTGCGACTCACAGCTGCAAGGCAATGCGGCGTGCTACACACTGGCCGTGCCCAGAGAGATGTGAAAGTGCCTCTGCAGGTACGAAAATGTATGTAACAATGATAATAATGGATCCCACGTGTGTCTGACATAGTCTTGCTTTTCCATGGGCTCGCTTCAAGACCAACCCTAAACTCACGTCCCGACCACACAAAGGCCCTACTTACGGAAACATGTTTCATGACATCTGTCAATTCCTGACCTTGCTTGCTGTCTGAGCGAATGCTGACGACTATGTCAATGATCTCCGAACAGCCGAAAGGTAACCGAGCCCAATGGAACTCGAAGAAGAGCCGGCAGCTTCATCAGCCAAAGTCCGAAGCGGCCCGGTAACTTTCAAGAAGAAACTGAATTGATCTTCTTTTGCAAGCAGCTGAAGTTGCAGTGGCTTCCATGTGTCAGTGAATGCTAAACTATGCTAAGCTCAGATGGATATACGAGAAGATAAATTATGAACGATCACGTGCACTAAAGCGGGGCCAAAAGTTTCCATCTTCCAAGTGACTTGCTGTACTCTTTTGCGGCGAACATGTCCACACCGAGCATAGTCAATGCATCACTTGCGTCTTCCCTCTCGATCAGCCTCGGTACAATACTATGGACGTGGAGCCATGCTGCTTTGGGGTGAATATTCGATGTGCTCGGGCAGCCACAAGCACTGCAACAAGTTAAGCGGCTTCAAGAACTCCTCCTCAGAGATCTTGTTATCCCCATCTTCATCCGCCCCGCCTTTGGTAATCAGCTGCCATAGCACCTGGCAGAAGAAAGACTTTTAGTGCGGCTGGGGAGTTGCAAGTGTTGGCCCAGGGTGGCGATTGTGAGGCAAGAAGATACTGCAAGGGCCATGCAGCCAAAAGGCAGTCTTTGCAAGATCCACGCGGATTTGTTCATGTTCCATTGTGGCCACCGTCTGAACAGCTTCGACAAGAATTCCAACCAACATGTTCAAGACGATCAGGGATCCGATCAAGATGAACACCAGCACCTTTGACTGGCAAGAATGCTACAAGTCGATTAAGGCACCTACTGGCACACTTCAACAGCGAACCCCTTCCCCCCCATCCCCTTCAAATCAGGCCACATGCACGAGCGAATAGTGTTGAACGGACGAGAATGTCCAGCCTACGAACTCAAGGTCTTAAAAATGGCTGACTTTCTCAGGTCTCACTGCCTCCTTGAAGCAAAAATACTTGAGGAGGGCCCCCTGAAGTGAGGATGCAGTTCCGGAGCACAACATGAATTCATGCATGGCAATGTGCGTCAGCGTGTGCTTTGATGTGTTTCTATCCTCCCTTGTTGCTGCAAAATGGACACCGAGCTCACTTTCGCGACCGAATGGCCCCAACTGCATCGATTTCAAGGCCATAGACTGGGCCGCCGAGATCTTTCAAACATCGAGGAGCGGTCCCAGACAGGATCCCCTGAATGTGCCGTGATACAAAGGTGGTAGGCGGGTTTGACGTTTGCACAGACACGCAAAGCATGAGCCCCAGCACCATGCTTCCGCGAGTCCCAGCCCAGTGGAGCCGCGTGTGTGGACAATGTGTGCTAAAGCGCAGCTTGGCACATTCATCCCCACCAACCCTCACTCGAAAGACGTGAAAACTCAAAGTCGGCGTTCGGGCATGCCCTCATGCAGCCAAAGGTCCATGCCCCCCATGAACCAACTCTCGCGGGCTACTTCCCTGAAGAAGAGCTCACGGTCAGGCATGACGCTCTTGACAATGAGGGTCAGCAAAGATGACGGCATGGATGGAAAGTGTTCCTCCAACGCAGTGTCCTGGCAAGTGACTTGATGCTAAGTGTTGCTGCTCCCTCGAGAGGACTTGCCATCACAGCACAAGCTTTGCATCTCCCCCTGCACAATGCTTCAGGCCTCGCTGAGCCTTGTGAAGGCTATGCTGAAGACGTAGGTGATAAGGAGCAACAAAACCAAAGTAAAGAACACAGAACGGGCCGCGACCATGAGCCCTTTGATCAAGATCAGAAGCTCCGGCATGTACCTTGGACATCTTACATTCTGGAGAATGGCATCGCTGCAGCAGCAGCAGTAGTAGTTGTCGGAGTAGTCGCAGTGGTCGAATAGTTGTAGAAGTAGTCGTCTTCGTAGTCTTAGTCGTAACATCATAGCAGTACTCGCAAGTTGAGTAGCAAGTTGAGTAGCAATGGAAGTAGCAGCAAGAGTAGGCAGCAGCAGGACCGGAGGAGCGAGTAGGAGTGTGACTTGGAGTAACTTGAGCTATGAGTGGCAGGAGGAGTAGGACGAGTGGCAAACGTAGTGGTAGTGGTTAGCAGTGACTAGTTCGTAGTAGCAGTTAGCAGTCAGCAGTCAGCAGTCGTCGCCGCCACCACCATCGTAGTAGTAGTAGTAGTAGTAGTAGTAGTAGTAGTAGTAGTAGTAGTAGTAGTAGTAGTAGTAGTAGTAGTAGTAGTAGTAGTAGTAGTACTAATCATCGTTGTAGCAAGAACCAGCGTGATAATACGGGTACTGGTAACAGAAGTACAGTAGCCATAGTACGCAATACGAACCGTTATCGCAGTGGCAGTAGACCTGGTACTGACAGAATTACTACCAGCAATGCTAATGGTAGGCATAGTGGATGGCGATATTAATTGTCGTAGTACTAGCAATAAGCATAGATACAATATTGCAGTTTCAGTTGCAATGGCGATGACAATGAGAATGGTGTTTAATACTGAGTGAACTACTACGAGTGAAAGTAATAGTAACAGTAACCGTGCTCGCAAAAGCAAGCTAATAACATATCAGCGGTAGCAGCAGTAGCTGCGGTAGCGCAAGTACTCGTCATAGTACTAGTGACAGAAATCGTGACTGCGGTCGAAAAAGTACTTGTAAAAGCAGGAGGAGGAGTTTCAGACCTGGTTGCCGTGCCACTCGCACGATCCGTGCTGTCCGCAACACTCGCAGCACCCGGGCCACACGAAGGACGGAGACGGTTCTTCCCAAACTGCTCCCAGAATCATCACCTAATGCAGCGTGGAACCGCAGGAGAAGCGACACATGATGTGAGAAGCGCCAATTTGTGTACACAAAGACCGCCAGAATACTGCTTTTATCGATCTGTCTAAGAATCTATGCGAATCGTTGGCCCATCGTAAACCGTAAACCCTAAACACTTTTCCAACCCAGGATCGTCTCCTGTCATCTAGCTTCCACAACCCTAAACCCTAAACCTAAATCCTAAACCCTTGTACCTGCAGTTGGGGCGCTCTGAGGGAGAACAAGCAGAATCATAGGTACAATCCATGTCTCCAGCAGCATCATCACCACGAGCAACATGTCGAAAATGAACCAAGGGTCTTTACATGCTTTCCAAGTGGTAGGATACGACATGTACCTCACAACTGCCTCACCCAAGAAGTAGAAAACAAAGACGATCTCAACGACAATGAAGAGTGGCTCTGCTTGCCAAACGACGTCTGCATCGTTATATTCAATATCCACGGCCAGCCACATTGCATTCAAGTATATCATCAGCAACGATAGCCGCTCAAACATACTATGCTGAACCATCCGAGTCCAGATGGTTTCAGTAGGGACGTCTGCGAGTGTGTTGTCAAACTCCTGTATGGCTGCCATGCGCACCTTGTCCTGCGCAAATTGAGCATGAAGTTGCGAGAACACCGGCTGCGTGGACCTCGAGCTTGACTTGATTGATTTCGGCACGTCGGCATTCTTGTGAATCCAGGACATGTGCTTTCGGCGGTTCTTGGCTACCGCCGAGAGGCTATTAAAAGCCTGGACCTGTGCACCCTGTGCACCAGTTTCTGGCTGTGTACCTTCTGGCTGTTCCGAAGGCAGTTGAAGCTTCTTAACCTCTGGCTGTAGGGGGGCATCCCAAGCTCTTAGTGCTTCTGACTTTTGGGCACCGTTCGTCGCACCCGGCTCCAGAAGCTGTGTGGGCAAGGCGTCTCCAGCATCCGATACACTGGGGATCTCAAGCTGCTCGAGCCGCCTCAACTCTACATGATTTTAATCACCATGGCCTTATACATGAAACGCAATCGGGCGATTTACCCATCAGTTCTGTTGTCGTTGTTCATTTAGACCCTTGAACCTAGGTTTGGGAGCGGCTGCGCCTCAGCTCCGCATCTAGCCTCTGCACCACCTTGCGCTGAGTATCAAGGAGGCTCATCTTGAAGGATCTCAACCCTTGTCGAACTCCATCGAGCTCCACTTTGCCCATTGGTGCCAAGGTTGGCGCTTGACTATCACATAAGATGATTTAAGAGATGTCTTGAGCCAACAGTACCAGCATGGGCTTGCTGGCAATCGTGAACAGACGCAGGTCTCCCCGGCACTTGAGCTCTGCAGCTTTTGCAGCTTGTTCCAGAGCCCTTCGGCTTGAAAAAATGTACATGAACTGCAGCTTTGGTCGCGCGTGAGACTGGCACAGTGGCCGTACAGATGTCTTGCAGAAGATTCCGAACACATATTTGAACATTGTTGGGAGCAGAGGGCGGTGGGCTGGGGATGCTGCGATCATTCACATTATGATGGTATATGCTTCCTGCCAAACTAGCCCCCCTTCTCGGTCACCGTACAGAGATAACAAAGAAATCAAGTCATCTTGTCCTTGTCCAAAGAAGCTCCTGGGCAAGGTGGCTGGCTCCATCAACGTTGCAAATGTTGCATAGTGAGCAGAGGCAAAGAATGTTGAGTTGAGGTGCAATCATCGACTTGCTGGGTTTTTCGGTTGTGCTACGTGCTACCTTACTACCCCGAAGCTTTTATCTGCTATGAAACGTTTCAGCAAAGGCGGCATCATGCAGGGCGTGGAATCCACATGCAAGCCCAGGACAGCACTCGCACAATGTGTGGAGACACCGAGGCGGCTACTCTCCAAGGTTGGCAATCCATCTAAGCCACTTCAGCTTGCCAGGGCTGTGACCCTGGGCCGAGTGTTGATAAGTTCGTCTTCGAGACGTGTACGTGTTTAATCATGAGGTTTCGCTTCTGCTCTCGTCCAAGTCGCTGGTGGCCTTCATAGACAACTTATACAACTTCTTATCTCATGGATGCCAAGAGTGTAAGGCCGCAACTCTGCTCTGGTTGGCAGACTCGGCACGGCGCCGTACCTCGACACCTTGAGCAGGTGTGCTGTGTGCAGCTCTGCAACCTACCGTGCCCGAACTTCGACTATCCTCCTGCATTTGCGTTGCAGTATCTTCACGTGGAAACGAGTCAAGCGTTGCAGTATGATGCAGTATGAGCCAATCACCGCCGATGAGCGTTAAGCTTGGTTCAACTGGCATTTTCAGATCTACGTCCATCAGGAGCCCGGCAGTCAACGCACCGGCCGCTGTGGCAAACTTCATGCACTCCTTGCTTTGACAACGATTTCTGCGGGTAGCTGGTGTAACTTGTATATCGCAATGTGGCTGGTGCGTGAATTAAGCATGACTCATCATGAAGCTACGAGTATATGAAGCTCCGATCTTGCCGGTGACCCTCCTGCAGGGGCTTCCCCTCCACCAGTGCCACGGCAAAAGCTGCTCGGAAGCAGTCGCCCGCGCCTCGCGCTATAGTTGCAGGCTGCAGGACCAGGGATGTGCGGCAGTGCACGAGAATGCCTGTCAAGATCCTATGCATGCACTTAGTGGGCTTATGCTGATAAAGAAAAATTTTCGAGGCCTTGGATAGCTTCTTTGATGCTCGGGCTCCTCTGAAACCGGCCCTTGTGCAAAGGGGCCTTAACTAGGACAACCCTCTATCATCTTGTGCTGTTGCGCTCCACGGCCTCTTCGCTACGGCCCTTGCACTCACTCACGAAATCCTGATGATGTTTGCTCAAGGCCCCTGAGTTAGTATACTCAAGATAGGGAGAGATTCAAGCATGAAGGATGCACGCGAATTCTCGCTAATTCAAACCTGAACCCAAAGTCCCCTCTCTTCGGTGCTAGGCTATCGGCCGGTGCTGTCGACTACCTTCCCACCGGGCCTGATGAGCTTTACAAACAGGGTTCTGCTTTGCCACAGGGCCCCACACAAGCTTGTTTCTCTCTGCTGGGCTTTCCAGTGTCTGCAGTCCATCTAAGTCGCGCGCACTGGGAAGCTGGTTTGGTGCAGAACCTTTGCGTCGAACATTCTGACAGAGATCGAGTTTGTGCATCAGGGAAAGCGTCGCAACCGCTTCGTAGTTTACTGCCAAGTCAGCACAGACTGGTTGTAGGTAGCGTGGTCGGTTTACCATCTTGAGTTCTGCTTCGGCAAACGCGGACAGGTGGCCTGGCCCTCGGCGGTTACCAGCACGGCCCCATCTGATCCTCAAAGAAAGCCCGGGAAGAACCCTAACTCGGTGTCTAGTCATTTAGACACACTTTCGGCTTCGTCCTGCACTTGACAATTCTTTCTGAAACTGGCAAATATCTGTGGAATGCCAGTGCCAGTTCTTTCCTTGGGGTGATATTTCCCACATCCATATCGGGTACTCCCTATTGATGAAATGTCGACTGGGCTGCGCTTCTCCCAATGCCTGCATGTCTTTTTTGGCCGCGCAGTTCTGTTCGCAGCTGGCGCTCGGCCACTCTCAAGGCCGCTCATCTCACGACTATATCTAGTCCTCGAGGCTTGTGCCTACAGAAGCATTCGGAGGTCGGTTCTTAGTTGCCTACGGCCTAACTGAATGTTCTGTAGGATAGGATCTGTCCAGCCATCTAGGCTCCAAGTCCAACAGTGCCGCTAGACACAAGTGCGTGGGCTGGTGACGCAAACGATGCAGGCAGCACTTCACTTCCGCCGCTCAGTTGTACACCATGTACTTGGGAGTTGCAGAGAACTTCGAATAACCCTTGATGACCTCAGCGTTTACAGTTCTTCGCATTTGCAGTTCAAAGGTCAGCCTGGTGCAACTTTCAACACCCTTGAATCCATGGATCTATCGCAGCCAAGCCGCCTTGTTGATGGCATCTATGAGGTCCTTCTCCTCAGCATCTGCTTGAAATTTGCTGAACATCCCGCAGTGGTTTCTGTACTGTTTCTGGGGACTGGTCTGGTGGACTCTAAACACACGCACACAAGCGGAGATGGAATCTGCCTCGCATGGGCTTATGGCCAAAAGTCAATAGCCAAATGAAAAGCTCTGTAAATAGCATGTTTGCTTAAGGAGCTTCTGCAGCCCAAGACTCAGAAATACTCTTCCGGCGGGCACGGATGGCGTACATCCCAGCTTCCGTGCAAACACTGCGACACTCGGCTCCTGGTACATTTTTCAACTGGGTTTACTATGGCTTACTGCATAGGGCAGGGGTAGATTGGAGATTGAGCTGACTCCCAGCCTGTGGTATTGGGGCAAAGCCGCGCTAGAAGCTCAAATCGCACATCTCTATCAATCGCCATTGTCCTCAGATTCCACCGCCAGAACAACTTCGCTAGCGTGCTACTATGGAACGGGCGCCTCGGCTGCTGCCGTTTAAGTCTGCTGACAAGCGTCTTGGCGTGGATCTTGAAGATGTGCGTGCGCCCTTCCAAATCAGGCAGGCCGAATTCGATCTTGCGATCCAAACCTCATGGCTCCGTCTCTGTTGCTAGGCTTGGACATCAGGCTCAATCAGTGCAGCACCTGGGGTCCTGACGACCAGGTCTGAGCAATGCAGGGTCTAGTGTGTCGGGCCGGTTTGTCGCCATGAGGACCTGGCGGCAGCGACTCCCTTGGCCCTGGCCGGACGCATCCTCCCCTAAGGATTAACTCTTTCAACTTGCTGTCGCCAGATTCTCAGCACCTCGGAGGGCACATGGCATCCCACAATGGGGCTGCCGCTGTACATCCTCTCTACTCACGGTACATGTCTATGTCACAAGAACCGAAGGGCCCAAAAATTTCATCGCTCGAGCAGCACTCAGGCAGCCTGTCCAGCACATCCAAACCTCTCTGCCGGTCGCGGGGGATCGCTGGCTTCCTTCCGCCATTCTACTGTTCACGTGCTTGTGCGTCCGGTGGCACAGCTTGACATCCGGCCTGTGCTTGTAGCATCTTGTGCCAGCTTGCATGATCTTTTCATTCTGCGTGTTGGCGTGTTCTTGGGAGTGGCTCTTTCAAGCTGTCGCCCTCGTTGCCAACTGCCGCATCTGGAAGGCGTTGGTGCTCGGCTGAGCGGCGTTGGCGAGAAGTGTCATGAAGGCCCGAGTTCGAGCAGCTGCAGCGAGGGCTGATGTCTCGGGCAAGCGTTTAGGGGACATCGTCCAGCCGCTCGGGAACGATGTGCTGCCCATGGAGCGCCTCCTGTGAATCCAGTAGCATCGCCTGTTTCCTAGCTGCCGAGCAAGTTGCGGATGAACAAAAACTCTTCTTGCTGCTAAAGATCCTAGGATGGCTGCCAAATGCTTATGAACAACATCACCACAAAGGTGTTCCATTGTTTTCCCCTGTCAAGCTTCTCTTCCAAGGACAGTCCCTCGGCCACCATCTGCCGCGGATCCAGCTCCAAGCCATGGTAGTGATCAGGGTGGAACACCTCCCGATAGGATACCTTGCGTTTAGCACGCAAGAGCGTTGGAGCCACTAAAGTAGACGTCCTACAAGTTGCCAAGAGACTGGCGGTTTCCCCGGATTTTGAAAGAACAGGTTCCCTTGTGCCCCTTTCCACAGTGAGCCTTGAAAAGTGGGGTCAACAATCCGCGTCCTCACGCCCCGAAGCCTGACGCTCCGCAACAGATCTTGCTCTCTACTGCACAAAAAACCAAAGTGTGCACAGATAGGGTTGTCCACGTACGCGCACTAGCTGCCGTGATCTGGTGCATTTGTCCTTCATTCCTGCCGGCGCTGCTGCTGGGCTGTGGTTGCGGTATGTTCTGACGCTGTGCTTGTGTGGCCCTGGCCTGCTACAGCCGAGGCAGACTTGTGAAGCAATTGCAAGAAATCAAACGCGGTCTGATGTCCAAGTTGGTCCTGAATTGATCAAAGGCGCGACGTGGCGCCAGAATGCTGGAATTTGGTCGGTCGGAACTGCTTCAATCTTATGCTCTTCGGCCCAGGAGGTTAGCACGAACTCCACATGCACAGGCTTGAAGTAGCTCCATGTGAGCAATGCGTAGTGGCTCCTGCATAGGGTATGAGCTTGAAACTAAAACATATTGAAGTACCTCCCGGCCTGTGACCAGCAAGCTACTGTATGAAGGCCTGACGTCATCCCTCTGCACTCTCATGCCGTCCATCCTGAGCAGGTGCAGCGCTGCACCCAAAGAGCAGCCGACCGACATCATCGGCGCCTCACCTGGGCTTCGCTTGGAACATCTCGGAAGCCGTCATGGAAGCATGGAACTGCTTTCCCTCTGTTGATCTCTAGGCGAAGTCGCTGTACTGATGGCTGACGTTACCTGGAGACTTTGCCGGGTCAAATGGAATGGACAGCCCGATCTCTGGCGGGAGGTAGGAGTGCACAATCTCGATGTGGATCACTAAAGGCAAATACCTTGCAAGCACTAACCCTCCGTATGAGTGCGATACAACATCATGCCGGGGCCGCCACAAGAGCCGCAGTCATCAAACACATTGCATAATGGGGAGGGGCATAAACACGGAGCCTCTCGGTGGCGGTGCTTTTTCCCAATGAACCCAGCCTAGGACACCGCAACACTTCGGAGCCCGACGGAAATTGGAACAGTTGTACAGGAAAAATGGGTACTTGGCCGACCGGCCGCAAACACAGCTATCAAAGCAAGCGCAGGAAACAACTGCCTGATCAACATTCTTGCAATCAGAGTTGGCTATGTTTGCTTCCTTCGCAGAAGCGTGGCTTTCGGGCTTGGGTGCTTAGAATGCAGGACTCCGCAAAGGGAATATGGATGACTGTGTAAGCATTGTATGTCCGTCCCATATCTCTACCCCAAAAAGTATACACTCAAGACGTGATAGCCATCCTGTGAACACTTCCCGGTTTTTTGCAACCATGCCCGTGCACGACGGCCGGAACACAACAAAGGCGCGGGCCCCGTTTCCAGCCAAACGGCAAGATAATCGCAATCACCATTGTCCTTGCGAGAAGGCTGGGATTGTGCATGGAATGCCAGACGCAAGTCATGAAGCCCCTCCAAACCCTAAACCCTAAACCCTCTACCCCGTCCACGTCAATTTTCAAGAGAGCAGGAAAATGTTGCGGTGGTGGCCCTGGGGCAAATGGGAGCCTCAGAGGCGAGCGCACAGCACCCACCCAGAAGCTGAGTGTGCACATATGGAGGGGGGGATTGCGCAACTTGAGGTATTCTTCGGATACTACATTGTATTGTATTACAGTATAATAAATTAAATTAAATTGTATTATGTTATATTTGGGTTAGATAAGGGCACAAACGTGACTCTGGGCAGGTAGCAACCGCTCCGCAAAGAACTTCGGGCGCACCAGCTCCGTAATTAAAGTCACCTGCACCCAGCAGAAGGACAAAATCCAGACTGCCAGTCCAATCTGAACGATTAGGGAGATACTGTGCAGGCAGCAAGAGGCCAAGCGAATGCAACTTTGGCCGCTATTGCGGCTTCAACTCCAATTTCGGCCCTGACGCTGGAGCATGCGGGGAAGACAAACAAAGGACAGCAAAGCAAGGAACTCTAAAGAAACAACTTTGAGGCGTTTAGCAATCAAAATTCAGCTCATGCTACCGGCGAGGGAGCCCGTCCCTGAGGGGGCTCGCGAGAATCAGTCGAATAATGCATGGCTCAAGCTGATATGGTGTGCAACGCTTCCTCAACACACAGCAAGGGGCATACCTTGAGATGTTTCCCCCTTATACTATCAGTCCTTAATAGGGATGATCATAGGGATACTAGAATCCCCATTAAGGAGCTGTTCATATCAGGGGGAACCTCCTAAGGCATACCCAACAAAAGCCACAAGCGGGCCTCTGGTCGGCGACCGAAGCGCAGCCGGAGATCCTCCGCCCGCTCTGGATCGATCTGCCCAGCGCTGGATCTCTGTTCTTCTACCCAAACAGCCCAAGGGAATAGACCTGAAACCATATTAAGGATCCTTATATGAGTTCAGGTATATTCCTTCATTAAGCGGTAGTGGGCTCTCTGGGTACATTTTCGCTCACGTCTGTCAGTCACAACCTCATGGTGGCCAAACCCCAACCCTGGCTCCTAGATGCTCCCTTACAGTATTGACATTCCTGGAGCCTCCGAATCTGTTGCTGGTGGAGATCAAACAGGCTGCGCCTCGAAAAGGATGGCCCCAAAGTCACCTGACGGTCCACAGCCAAGTACAATCAATGGGACAGCTAGCAGCAGCTAGCAGCTAGGACAAGTGATGCAACACGAGTCTTCACCCAGCCGCGCGCCTGATCGCTCAAGGAGGCAGTTTGCCGGGTCATGCCTGCCAAAGCACTGCAAGCACGGCGCAGGCTCCAAGATCTGTCATAAGCAAAGCTAAATTGGCAATCGCTGCTACCCCAATGGCCTGCCAGCGCCCAGGTTCACGATTAGCGGTGAAGGCCCGGCATCGTGGCCGCGCGTCAGGAAGACCTGACAGCACCGGTATGGCAACATGAGCTGCTGAAGCTGTAGGTGCCAACATGGCGTGGTCACATCTACTACTCTTTGGAGCCACATCCTACCAAAACCGGCCCAACACACCGTCATGCCTCCAAGACCCGAGACTGTGTGAGGAATATGGCCTGAGCTTCGAATGCCGTAGCTCCGCTAGGATGGGTGTGCCATCTGCATGTGCAACAAACAAGTCCAAGAAGCATGGCTGGATGCGAAGTCTGAGATCTCCCCATCCAAGCGATGCACACGGCGTGGCTGCAGTCCTGGACCACATGCGTCGAAGTCGGACCTCAGTTTGTCCCTGGCATGTACAGGTGGGAAACAAGCGTTGAAGAACTTAATTCCCTCAAACCCTACATTGCCTTAAGCTTCTGAAGGCCAAAGACGCAAACTCACCTCCCAGGGTCCACGTCGATGCGTGGGAGAGCACCGTTGCCAGCCTGAGCCGGTCCAAGTCAGAAAAGACGGCCAGCATGACAGCATGCCATGATGGCTACAGGGGCCCCTGTTGGGGTCTTCCTTCCGGCACCTATTTTTAAAGCCGTACACCGTAAAAACCCGCAGTACACCCTCTTAAGCCCAGGCCACGTTGGTGCTTTGGCCCGGCCCTGCTGCTTCCAAAACAGCTTGGCCACATAGGCAGCCAGCCTCCGACCGGAAACCCGGTTCCATTAATTCATATACATTCATATTAATTCCGGTTCAGCAAATGCTTGGTTTTGGATAGCACAGTCGGACTAGGCATTGCAGGGTGGCTGCAAGATGCAATGGGGCTTTCCAAAAGCACAACGGCATCTGATGAATTTGCCAGCTGAGCCCTGGCTTCGGTTTCTAGTCCACTGCGTTTGCTTCCCCGGACGCCTCCGTGAGCTGAGTTCGTGTGGTTGTTTGAGTCGGTCTGTAAGACATAAACTCGAACACGCGTCGGGTGGTCCAGAGCGAACTCGACGAAACACTGCTGGAACTTCTGGAACTTGGAGGGTTTCGATCGCTGCACCCGGATTGCTTGAAACGCATAATGGATACGGCTGTGCTGGCACTGTTTTAGGGTTGATGGCTGCGGCGTGGGGACTTGGGTGGAGAGAATGAAAGAAGTAGTGTCCTGGAGGTAGTGAAACAATTCTTTTCCGTCCTAGGGCAGTTTCTGCCGCAGCTTGGAGCTTGCAGCAGCTGCTGCGCCGTCAATTTTTCAAGGGTGTGGACTGATTAGGAAGGGCTTGGGCTTGGACACCTTGAGATCGGCATGCAGGCTGCCGCGGAGCTTCCGCAGAGCTCGGGTCTGATTGTAGACGATCAAGCTGAAACTAGGTTTCGGCGACTTTTCAAGCCCATCACCAGTACTCAAACCATAGTTGCTTGTGTCGTCGCTTCCACGGGAGCTTCCGAAGAGATGTGCTTCTGCAACCCTTCCACATGCCCGCGGCCACGTTCGCGTGCACTTTCGCACCCCGGTATCGAGAATCGTGTTTGTAAGTAATCAACTTAAACAGCGTTGCAAAAACGCTTCTCGGAGATTCGCTGCGGCCTGTCCAAAACCTCACCGAAAAGCTCGCCCTGCCCCAGGGCCAAGTTCTCGTAGAAGGGGCCCTTCTTCACCACGTCCTCTCAAGACAGAGGCGGCGTGCCAAAATCGCAGCACTGCGTAATGTTACGGCTAGTTCACATGGTATCCCCAAGTGTTCTAGAATGTGTATCTGCAGTGGCTCTTCTAGCCCTAAACCTTAAAACTAGACCCTGTCCTGGCATACGGACTCCATCTCCGAGCACTGCAGCTCCTGGAGCAAGCTGATGTTCGCAATTGATGCCGACCCGAAATGAGCTTCAACTCTCACAAACTTCGCATGCGCGGCGACATGCGTTTGGGTTTCCAAAATAGGGGTTCCTTTCCATGGAGCAGCAGTGCCTGCCAAAAGCCTAAAAAAACACATGCCAAAGGTTAAGCTAAGCTAAGCTATGCTCATTCGGCATACGCGATCCTTACAACATAAATGGCTGCCAGGTTTCGAGGTTATCCACCAATGCCCTCACCAAATCATGATGCTCGATGGTGCCTCCATAATAGCAGTTGACTTGCCTCCGGGGCGTTCCAGGACGCAGGTCCATACGGCAAGAAACAAACAAAAACGAAGCTGGTCTTCTGCTCTGTGTGAAGAGAGGCAGAGGCATGTACCGCAAACCCCCACCGCACCTTGTGTAACAGGCCAGGTCTCCCAAGTCCACCAGGAAGTTGAGAACGGGCAATAGTTCCTCGGGCTCTTCCTTTGCCGTCTCGTAGCAATCGGCTGTCATGTAGTACACGGCGCTGACGTGGTCGAAGAGCGCTCTGCCCATGTCCAGACGTACTTTGTTGGACTCGGGACAGTCTCGTGGACGATCTGCCATGCTTGGCGGACATGGCTTGCGCACATAGCTCTCCTTCCGATTTGTGGCTGACCATGCTGAGAAAGACGTTTACTGCGCCCCTAAGTGGTTCTATCTTTGCCAGTGTCAGTTTTTGATTGCTGAAAGCACGGGGAAAAAAGTGCCAGATTTCTGGTGCGACTCCGGGATTTGCGCGAATGCGCATGCGAAGCATATCGCACATGCGCACCGAAGACTGCACATGGCAAACGGGCATCGGATCAAAACTGCTTGTTGCGTCGTCAATGACAGAGCTGTGTTCCCTACACGGCAAGCTTTGACTAAGGCTTCTGCTGTTGCAACTTCCAAGACTAGCAGGAGGCGGAAACGACTTCGTACAATGAACGCAAATGGCGGCGATTTATCGCAAACTTGGAGACATGCCCCGCTGCCCCACCCTGCATCCGCACGCCTGATATTGCTGTCTGCAGTACATGGTGCTCAAAGATCGTGGCGTACCCGGGATGTCGACCGCACATGATACTCAACGACAAGGCAGGAATGCCTTCACGTTGCCACGAGAGTCAAAGCCATCCAACTGATTCACAATTTCCAGCATTGTTCTCTGCACCTGCAAAACTTCTTCCACATGTATCGCAAGCCCGGCTGCTAGACCCTCCCCTGTGCCCTACACTATGCCCTCTCATAACACTGCCTCGCTGTCGCTGTTACCTTCGTCTCCACCGCGGGAGCCGCCGATGGCATCCACCTCATCGATGAAAAGGATGCAGGCCTTCTTGGTCCTGGCTTTTCGCTCTGGCAATTGGGAAGCCTCATTGTTTCCTTCATGCGTCCCATGCCATGCAAAGAACCGGTCAAGAACCCTCAATGGATGAGTTGACAGCAGGATTGTTAACGGGCGGCTTGTGGTAGATGCCGTCCTGGCAAGCTGGAAGAGCTCGCGCACCATCCGTGCCCCTTCGCCGACATAGCGTTGTACAAGCTCGGAGCCAATCACACAGATGAAGCAAGCATCGGTTCCTGAGTAGTCTTGACCGTGCAGGCGCTTTGCGATTCGAGGGTGCTTGGCTTCCCCGAACACGCGGGCAGCTAAACTGAAGCTTCCATGCAGCACGCACGCAAACGCACGCAAGGTGGTAAGGCTCCCACGGTTTGCAACGGCACGTGCTGTCAAGGTCTTTCCGGTGCCGGGTGGCCCATACAGCAGCACGCCCTGACAGTTGTTTTGGCTATAGGGCCTGTTAGGATTTTGGGTTTACGGTAACCCTAAACCCTAAACCCCCCAAAACGAGAGCCCACGCTTTCGACTGGCCTTCGGCGGATCAATGCCGAGAGCAACGAACCGCTCTGGCTGAAGCAGAGGCATCTCAACGACCTCTCGAACGCTGTGCCAGGAGCAAAGACAATAGGCTATAGCGGCTATAGGAAACGCAAACAGAGGAGTCACACATCAGATGAGGCCAGATTGCACCCGATGTTTCAGAAAGCAGGCATCCTAGGACATCGCTTGCAAAGCGATCTTGGAATTTATTGTGGGGGCCTCGCGCAGTCGCTCCAGCTGTTCCTTAGCTCCGCCCACGTCATTGTAGGTGACATCCGGCTTCTCCTGAACACGAAATTCAAGCCTCGAGATGCGCCTGCTTGAAGATGCTGCACTAACTGCAAAATGGTATGCGAGAAAACGGTATTTGTCTGCTGATCCGTCCTCCACGGTCATCATCGTGACAGACGGGTCAATTTTGGGTGGCAGCGGGATTTGAATTCTGTACCTGGAAGCAGAGATCATGTTGGAGACTTGGCACACAGGCAACACAGTTTGGTGCTTTCTTGAGCTGCTGAGGAAACTGACTCTTAAGCTCTGATCACTGGCACATAAATGCCCCCAGGGCACTTTCCACCATGAGATGTGTCCACACCAACACGCATACTCTCCTCAATGTCCGTAGCGGACACCTTCTCGCCAAGGCCAACAACAAACTTCGCGAACTCACGGATCTTGATGACGTACCTGGGATGCCGGCAAGGCATGCGCATGTCGATAGGATCGAACCCCACGCGTTTATCATACTTGCCCTCGCATGCCTGAAGCAGGCAAGCGGCTTTGTGTCATCGGTTCCGGGGTCAATAATCTTCGTCACGCGGGCCACCTGCAATGCTTGCTCCTGACAGCCATGGAAGGGATGAACCTTCCAACTTGAAGGCAACTCAATTCCAGAACTAGCCAGCACAAAACTTCCGGCGGTGCGTAATTTGCTTTTGCCGCACACTACCCATGCTTTCAGAACCACAGCTTGTTCGAACCCTGCTCCTGCTTCATCATCTGCTTATCGCCTTCCAAGTCCCACTGGCTTGGAGGGGCAAGGCCGGTGTCAGACTCCTTCATGTATCGTGTGGATCTGTGGGACAGTGCCATGCAGTCGCATCAAAGTTTGATCAAAATATCATCACAATTCAAGCTCGGTTCCGTTCGCACCCAGCAAAACTCGGACTTGGATTTCTGGACTCACCATGACTCAGAGGAGAAAAAACCTGTGATGAGCTTCAACCCTCCGTTCAACTTGAAGACCTGAAGCCAATCATCTGAACCCCTTTCAGAACATGTCTGAATTTCATCTTCAACTCTGAATCAAGCAGACACTACCTCTCTCTGCGTGTGCCAGAAGCTCCTTGACCCCGATCAGCTTATTGATCTTGCTGATGTACTCTTTGGCTTCCTTCCTGAGGTAGCACAGAGGTAAGGTGCAGGCAGGGAACTTCCAAAAGCAATGTCAACCACCGGACGACTTGCGAAGCTTCTCCCACCACTGGAATCAGCTTGGTGGCTCTGCAGTCTTGATGGGCCCCACATATGGGCCAACACCTGACGGGAGACAAAAAGCTCACACGACCTCGACAAAGAGGGGGCAGAGTTGTTTATGCTAAGCTATCATCGCTCAACTGATCTGCTCCCGCCATAGGTTCGCATGATGATGACGTCGTCTTCATCCAGCGCCTGCGTTGTAGGCTCATCTTCATCCTGCAAAATGCACCGACTGGTGCTGCCGCACAAGACCGAGTACAAACTCGCAACCTTTAGTCACCAGCATTGCCTCACATCATCCAACTCCCAACTCCCGAACACCACTGAATACTCCACTGAAAGCATTCACACATGGCATATCCACATCGTCCCCAGAAGCCAGCATTGTCCTCCATGCCCTTGCTGCCCTGCTTGTTTGCCATTTGGTTGTCCTAGGAGAACTTTCATCTGCTGTCTTTTCATGCGGGACGCAGAGTTGAAAAGTGGTCGCGGCACGTCAACTCGAAGCAGGCTCAAATCTCTCTCTTCTTCTTCTTCTTCTGCACGCTTAAGAGGACCCCTCGAATTCTCTCTCTCTCTCTCTCTCCCACACGCATAGCCCCCCCGAAGGGAGGCTGCCCCCAGGGGCGCGCACGTCCAAGGATATCTTTTTCTGTCTCTCTCTCTCTCTCTCGTGCGAGGGTCTTGCTACGCAAGGGCACTGAGATCTGGACCAAAGAATCTTGCGGCATGGCTGCGAATTGAAGGGGGTGACTCTACACAACCTATGAGCCGTTGACCCTGCGGAGATGTAAAAGTACCAGAAACAATATAAGTAAGGATACACACTGCTGCAAAGAATCTGCCTTCTCCTCCTCTCAAGAACTGATCTGAATCACAGAAGCTACTGGCTCTGATCAAGGCTACTGGAATTAAGGTCTCGGCCGAGAGTACAAAGGACATTCTTGACGCCCCTCTTCTGCAGGCTCCTCTTGGGCTCTACCGCGCACGATGTTCTCCATTTTTAATCCATGAAACACTAAAAAAAAATATATATATATATACATTATCCGCTAAAAACTACATATTATATGTTAATTAAATGTAAAAAAACTGTATACGTGTATTATAGTATTCATGCATATACTATGATGTATGGACAGCGAGAACCCCACGGTACGATTGCCCGGAAGCGGCACATCTTCCAACAAACAGCGCGCAGGGCGACCCATCCTGGCTGCTGCCACCTCAGCACATTCAGCCCCGTATGCTTGCGGAAACAAGCAGAATATAATATGTATATTTATATATATATATATATATTGTATAGTATCTGATATTATAGCCTTCAATACGAGGCTCTGGCGACATTGGCCTGCGAGTCCTCAGCTCCACAAATGAGCACCACGGTGCTGCGCCGAGTGCCCCAGTGTGCATCAATGCACAGCGTTGGTGTCTGTTAACCTTTCTTGCGGATCGGGTCTCTGTCGGCATTCCGGTCAGCCTCTCGAGCTCAGTCCTCAATATCATGTCTGCACAGATTCGGACAGATGTCCTTCAAGCAGCAAGCGCATCCCAACCCACATCTTAACTCATCTGTTCAGCAGCGGCTGGGTCACGGACTCATTAGGGCAAATGTAGGCAAGCCTGCAGTTGCTGTGTTGATGATTCTGTTCTAGTGGAGTTTCGTGGGCCGTGCAAGTCAAACAATGCACAGTGCAGCTTCCAAATAACATCGCTCACACTCCCTCCCTGCAGGTTTAGCGGCTGTGAAATGCAGGCAGGTGAGTCTGCTGAGGTGCTCGCTTGCTAAGGTGCCTGGGCAATCAAGTGACAGTGACATTTATCTTTCACTCTTGCCCATCGGAAGCAGCGAAGGGTGCAGCTAGAGCTCAGGACCGCGCACAGTTGCTAACTGCATGCACGAGAAGCTGGCAGCTCTTGGGTGCTCAGCTGATTTGAGGTGGCGCTAGACACACCGACCCTTCAGCCCAGTCACTCGTCCGAGAAGTCCCGCTCCTCGCCACCGACATCTTGGATCACAGGCACCTTTGGCTGACTTCCTGAAGCTTCCCTAAGTCTATACATTCCGTCAGTATACTCGCATACATTCTGAGTGTAGAAGCGTGCGTAATTCCCCTGAAGCTCTTGGAGATGCTTCCGAGTTCTCCTATATATGCTCTTTCCTGGTCAACATGTTTCAGCATATGCCCATGGCTGCTTAATCCTCCTTGTATCGAAGCTGGGGCATCAGCGCCCGCTGCGTGTGCGACTTTGGCCACCGCCTTCCAGGGTTTGAGCATGCCAGACTCGCAGTTGAGTCAACTGAGTCAACTTGGCATGCATCCTGGTTCAGTGGTGCGTGCTGCTGAATCCCCAATCCCCCACCACAACAAAGAACACCTCCTGGACTATTGAGAGCATGACAACAAAGGCTTGCCCGGGGCTCCACAAGCAAGTTTAACTCATGGGCTAGCCGGGAAAAACATAAACAAATATATGTGCGGGTGTGTATTTGTATGTATTGCATGCACACACATGTATGGACACCAAGCCGAATCCTCGTTGACGTACTTCGGGATCTCTTGCTGTAGCAGGACGGCGCTCGCACCCTCTATGAGCCTTGCGGAAATTGTGCAAATCCCAGGAATGCTCACAGCGGGAGGCACGGGAGGCAGTAGCAGATTGCAAGCTGAACGATTGCAGGCAGGGGCCCGCAGGGATGGAACAGAAGTCTGACTCTTTTCCCAGGCAGTTCAAGCAGAAAGTACAAAGGATATATTCTTAAAAATTATACTATATCAGAAAGTAAAGGTTAAAAAAATGATAAATACATAAATGAATATATATATATATATGTATATGTAGACCACGAATGAATCTGCAATGGAGCCTCTTGAAATCGGTAACTTCCGCTGGCCATGCGACGTTGGATCCGCCGACAATGAGGATGGAGTTCGAACCTTCCGTGCGATCCCGACCCATTGTCCAAACATGACATGAGTAACCGCCCAACCTGCCCAGAAAGGCTCTACGGCGCATTGCACATGACATGTGACATTTGTCTTTGGATGCTTGCTCAATTTGTCCCGGGGAGCCGGCCGTCTGCCTCCAGAAAAATAAAAGCTTGCCCGGACCTGGTCATTTCTCTGTCTTCGACCGCCTACATGAGCTGGAGTTTTGAGGGTCACGTTGCACATCTGTGCCCAAGTTCATGTGGGGTTTACGAAAATAGGGGACTCCTAAAATAAACAGCCCACCCTTATCATAAGGACCCCATTTCCGGTTTGGCATCCGGCGGTTTCTCGGCCCGCCCGCAGCCGCTGATGTCTAGGCCATTGTCCTCAGACACCAAGACCCATGGACCCCGGAGCTCAATTTTCATGCATGTCTAAAGGTATGACGGTAGTATGAATGCTCCATGTGCAACGCAGCGCGTTTTATCAGCACCGGTGACCTCCTGAACATGGGCGCAAGGCATTTAGGGCTTAGGTGCATGTGTCTCATCATGTCTCATTCTGGCTAAGTTGCCACGAGGACTTGCTCCAGCTTGGCAGCGTGGGAGTCCTAGGCCCAGACTGTCTGTCCACAGCTTCAGTCAACATGCATCTGAGCTATGTAGCGTGGTGCACACTGGCGCGACTGTTGCTTGAAAGAGTGCCCTGCTGCATCTGCTGCTTGACTAGCGGTCGAGCATGCCAAGCAGTGAAGAAGAGACGAGTGCTGACTGTTAGCTAAGCCGAACGCGTTCCCGAATTGGCAAACGAACTGGGCCTGCCAAGCACTTTACAGCGTATGCACTGCAAACATCACACTGCAGGAGAAGTGTGGCTACTAGTATGAGCAGCCCTCAAGCACTGATGGCTCGTAAGCCCAGCAATCACAACGAAAGACAGGCCTCCTACAAGGGAATCTGAGATGCCCCAAATCCCAAAGTAGTCCATGAGCCTTCAAAAATCTATGCCGCGCGCCTTCCTCGGGGTGCCGACGGAGAGCCGCGAAGCTGCAACTGCCTGGTTGGCGCCTTCACATGAAGGAGATCATCTCAGGGTCACCGGCGAAACCAAGAACAGCAGCAGAGGTATTGACGAGAAGTGGCGATCCAAAGCGTTGCTCCACACCATGATCCGAGGAGTCGCCACGCACAAAGTCGCATTTGCAGTTGGCACGTGCTACGAGCCTCGTTGCCCTAAGCGGCCCTTTTGAATAGCAGCCCCGAACTCCATAAGCCCCAGACATCTCCAAATGCCCGGCCTTTGCCGCCGGGCACCATGATCCCCGTGTCTGGACCTGCACATGCGGGCTTGCATGCCTTGAATAGGCATTGAACAGGCTCACATCTTGGTGAAGCCAGCAAGGATTTTGTAGCGGTCTGGTCATGCAGATCACACCTCCGCAGCTTCAAAGTTCGACTAGCAGGCATCTCATGTCTGGCCACGGGGGCCGTGCACGGCTATGTAGACTTTGGACATATATACAGAGGTCCATCTTCAAGGCTTTGGAGTTTAGGGTTTAGGAGTTTGTGAAGCTTTCAAGTGAGCAATCTCCAGGGCCACGGCTGCGAGTGCCGAGCGTTTCACCTTTCTTCGGGAAGCGGCTGATCCTGAGTTGAAGCATGTGTGTTGATGCGGGATTTTACGTCTCGAGCCTGTGTCTTGTGCTGTCATGTCCTCCGGATGGCTAAGAGGCGTGCTCTATAATGATGTCCGCATTGAGAGAGCCACAGACCTCTGCATGCTGCGGCAACATGACCCAAAGCCCCTGCAGCCTCTCATCGAAAGGCCCATCAACAACAGGTCAACAACCATCAGACTTTTTTCTCAGCCTTTTGCTGCGAGAGCTGTCAGACTTCGGGCTTCCACTGGTGTCGTGGCGGGCCGAGACAGCCAAGGCCACTGTTGAAGCCTGCAGGTGCCAGCGCCAATAATGCTTGTTGCCAGATGGGCTCAAGAGTGTAAGAGAGTGTAAGAGAGTGTAAGAGAGTGTAAGAGAGTGTAAGAGAGTGTAAGAGAGTGCAAGAGTGTGATGTGGAACGGTACGCTCTGCGTCTACTGTAAGGATGCTCAGACTGGGAGCGCAGGTTGAACTTGAACACTTCCGGATGTAAACTATTCGGATGTTTCTCGTCGCAGTGAGATCGTATCCAGTATCCGACACACTACAGTAGCTGCTTTTCGAACGTGTACAGATGCTTAAGGTCTGCAGAGACTACTTGAAGCACGAAGGTTTTCAATTGAGTCTAGAGCAAGTCGCAACTGTAGCCGGTAGCCCTTCGCATGCAGATTTTGCCTTCTGGCAGCTTGAACAGGAACTTCAACCGGAATGCGTCATTCCCGTTCAGATAGTACCTTGCAACCCACCCCCCAGCCATCCATAGCCTACATAGTTGCTCAGGGGGTTTAGGGTTTAGGGTTCCCCTCAATTGGGTCAAGGACCGTTTAGGGTTTGAGTTTAGGGTTCTTAGGGCAATTGTTTTGAAGATAGTTCTTTGCAACACTCACCTGGCTAAGAACGGCAGGCAAGGCTGGTCGGATTCAGATTTTGGGAACCTCGTCTTTGTCGTTTTCACGCGCTTTCATGGAAACATGTCGTTGATGCGTGGTGCGCCTTTGACAATCGATTTTGGAAAATGTCGGGAAACCGTACATCAAAACAGGAGCGTGCGGCAATAACTTGGACAGAACGAGAACGACACACGTCCTGACACACAAAAGAGAAAGAACGATCACCAGAAAGGACTACGGCATGGCCCAGCGATTGGCAAAAAGCCCAGACTACCGTAACAGAAAGCAACCAGTATCAGAAACATCATGCCGCCCCGTCTCGAGGACGCACCAAACCATGAACAGACTGCAGGAATTCGCCTGTTCCCTCAACCGAGGCTTAACGAGATGGCTCGGGTGTCGACTCTGCCTGGTGGACGACGTGGCTTTTCTTGTCTCGTCTTGACTGGTCGATCCGACTACATGCAGGTACTGCGCCATCTACAGAACCCACAATTCACACGATTCGACAGAAGACTGACAGAAGCTACACTTTCCAACGAACTTTCCACAAGTGCCAAGGTTCTTGTGCAAGCGCTTCTCCTTCACGAAGCCCATGCTTCCTTAGTTCGTTTTCCGCCTTTTGCACACATCTATCACAGTTTGAGCAGACAGCGGATTTAGACAGTTTGGTTTTGCCTGGTTTCAGTGCCGATTGCCACGTCAACTGGCATTACCACGGACATACTAGCTCGCTTAAACACCAACAACTGGTGCTTGCCCATCTCAGATGTCCTCGTGGCACGATGCTGACAGTTTTTGCGGTCAGCTCAGATACTTGGATCTTGTTGTGGCCTCCGCCAGGTCTTGCCGACTGCATACCCATCCGAATTCAATCGGTTGCCGCTGTGGCAGCCGTGGCATCATCTTATCAAACTTCAGTTGAGCTTCGGTAGAGACCCAGCGCACCGAGGTTGGTCACTTCCTCACACGTGCGCTGTGCTGAGAACTCAGAACTCCAACCAAAGAGACTCTTGGCATTGCGGAGTCGCTGAAAGGGCTAATGAAGAATGCCCCCTCAGACTTATGCATTCTCAAAGCCACGGTGCCGTCTCCAAGACGCACTCATCCGCACCCAGCTGCCTGCCAGATTTAAGTCAAACCGCGCGCGCAAAGTTGCAAACCCAGCGCCCTTGCCCCAAAAGCACATGAAGTGCAGCCAGAAAGCCGCATCCGATCTAGGCAAAGCTTGACAAGCTTGGAACCGATCCGCTGGCCCCGCAACTCTTTCTCCACAGCGAGCATTGCAATGTAGCCTCAGCCATAAACATGAGACTGCAAAGAAATCAATGTCGCTTCTAAGTCTTCGCGATGTCGGAAGGGCCATTTTTTGGACAGGTTTCTTGCCAGTCCATGCGGGCTTTTTTGATTACGTGCGTGTATCTTTCATGACCACGTGTATAGTCGGCATGACAACTTTGCAGGCAAGCAAGCCTGTGCAAACCGTACCCTCAATGCTGCATAGAAGGGCTACAGGCTATTAAAACTGTCGTGAAGGATGAACTGAACCGTCAACTGAACCTCCATTGTGCCACAGCACGACTCACAGTATGAGTATAGCGTAGATAACGCAGCTGCGTACCCTAAACTCTTTTGTTGACCTTCTGTTCCACCGAAATTCTGTCTCCTTAAACAATACAAATCCATCTTATTCTGATTCAAAGCCTGCTCCTTTGGGGATGCTCAACAAAGGGAATCCTCAAGTAAGGGGCAGGTTTACCACTTCGAGCCAGTGCATCTTTAATGTCCAGAATCGCTTAGCCAGTTCAAGGATGGAGAGAGACACTTCAGCCATGCTGCCGCGATGTGTCCTCCGGCAGCGATGGACGTCTAGCTTGCAGATGATGGCCCCGACGCAGCGATCCCCCTGCATGGTCATGTAGCAGAGGTCTGGCCAGTTGTTGATGAAGTAGCGGTATGTGAAGACGGAGTATGGCTCTGACAGATCCTTGTCAATCAAGCTGACGATGCCAGGCATATCGCTCTCATCTTTGTACTGCTCGAAGCGTATGTCATCGACCGGGCTTTGGACTTGTTTCTGCGCATCGTCCTGGCTCGGGTAAGCCATGGCGCTCAATCCAAACCTGCGCCATTTGAGCCCCTCAATGCGGAGGTTTTTTCAACTTTTTCCCATCATTCAACGCACGAGGTGCCAATATTACATGCGACGACAATACAACGACTCTGTGGGTCCGGACCAGGAGTGGTCTCGAGTTCTCCTCACACGCGGTTGCCTTCCGGCCTGCGCACGCGGATGCGCAACTACAGGCACTGGCCGGCTTTTCGGATGTAGGAATCTCAACATTCTGCCAGCCGCTCAGCCCATGAGGCACGCAAAGGATTATAGGGTTCTTAAAAAGGTAGGGGGATTCATTGGGGGGGGGTTTAACACCTAGGGAACCTTGAGCAAGCTTGGGAGCCTCAGCAGTGGGGAGCATAACGGAACTTGGGTTACATGCCCCCTTGAACCCCTCTCCTTATGAACCCTGTAAAAGGAAACTACCGAATCTCCCATCGAATTTTCGAATCTGTGTGTTGCAAGTGCTGCCAGCCTGTCAGTGTCATGGCTGCCTCAGGTAAGCAAGGCGATAGTGCAGTGGGAGAGGCTTGCAAACAAGCGATCGACCCTGTGCAGTCACACAGCATTGACTCCAGCAATCAGCACAGCCTGTCAGTACAAGCATCGAAGCGTGTTCACCTCTTGGTGTGCTTGGCTTGCAATCAGCCGCAATGGCATACAACACACGAGCAGCATGGAAAACATAATACTCACAGCCGTTGAGAGCAAGGAGCTTCAAGTGCGGGAAAAAACCTTGGCCGTCTTCTTGTGCGAACGGTCCCCGAAGCTCAGATCTGAACCGCTGCTGCTGCAGCCGCTGCCCAAGGCCATAGTCTGCCTCGGAAGACAATCGCTGTGGGCTCTGTAAACTAGACCCTCGTGCTGCAGCGCGACGTGACGCCTACCTGCAAGATGCTTTTGGGCATTTTGTCTTTTGGTGCCGCTTGCGGTCCTACGGACATTTTATAGTTAATGCCCCTTACGCAGGGCTCCTAACACCAGAGGAAGATCTCCCAGCTCTGGAAAATGGGACCTTGCCTTCGGTGTCATAAAATGTAAAACCACGTTGTGGTCGAAGTGAAAGCCATGTATGCCATGTATGCATCGCCCTGCTACTCCGGCTATTGAAAGCCATCACGTGCCATTGCCCCCGTGCAGGTACCGGGTTAAGTTACACCTAACAGTTGGCAAAAATTCTATCAGAGACTCGTAGCATACTATATCGCACCTGTATCGCACGTGGTGGATTCAAACGGTCACGGGTCCTGCCATCATCAGTTGGACTCTCGTGAGGCGACGTAATGGAAATTGGATCACCGCAGGCCCTGCAGCCAGCGCACAGCCACGGGGGATGCTGTGAGCATGCTGCCGGTTTAGGGTATTTAGGGTATTTAGGGCATTTAGGGTATTTAGGGTATTTAGGGTATTTAGGGTATTTAGGGTATTTAGGGTATTTAGGGTATTTAGGGTTTAAGTTGGAACGTGCTCATCCGTTTGGATGTGGGTGTGGTGAAACTGTCTCTGGCTGTATTCAGCGCTTCGACCAGGCCAAAGACTTGTCTCCGTTTCGCTTGCTGCCAAGCTGCAGCGGGTCACGAGAGTAGGAGATATGATCTCGTTGGAGACTCGCATGGCAAGGCACGCGACCCGAAGGTTCTCTAGTCATACCTCCATGAAGGTTCTAAGCATCGCGCTCAAGTCCACTCGCTTACAGCCGTGCGATCCACGACTGGGAAATTCTGCGCCTTGTCTATGCCGGCCGACCGGCACATCTTTCTGCTGGATTGACGACAACCTTTACTATTGTCATTATCTCGGACTTTGTCCCTGCACCCTACATGCCCTGACTCATCTTGCCGTCTGGGGCTGAACTTGTATCGCTTGCGACAATCCTGCTTTCCGGACATGTGGCCATCACCTGGAATACGAGGCCTTTACAGATTCCTTCTCATTCGAGGAGCGTGAAGCGAAGGACGTCCTGCGACCGCAAACATCTCCCACAGCGCAGCTTCAGCTTGTTGGTAAAGTCTTTTGCGTGATTCTCTTTTTGAATGCATGTTTGCTCTACTGAGGCCATTTAATCTTCAACTTTAAGTTTCACGTTATGCTAGTCATGGGCTATGGCCGTCTCGCCGGCCTTCTGGAAGGCGGCAACAGCGCTGGGTGAAGGTTGGGCGGAGCAACTCCTTCGGACATCAGGGCTATCGGCTTAAGGCAGTTCTCAGAAGTCGCTCTGGTGTTGTACCGGCAGTCATCGTTTCCTAGCGCGGGTTCCCCTGACCCCATGCTCAAGATGCACCAAGTTGTCCAGCAGTGTGTGACATCACATATTGCGCAAGGCCGCCCAAGAGCTCGTGAACCTTGGTTTGACAGATCCATTCGCTGTCAGCCTCGCAACAGTTGGATACAGCCGGCCGCGCGAACTCCAAGAGCGCAGCAATTGCAGAACAAGCCTACCATAAGTCTCTCCCGCATTTTCATGTCAGTTTCGAAATCAGCACAAAGAAAGTACATGAAGAAGGTTTGAAAAGGATCAAAAGGAAAGTGGAGTCTAGTCTGTGAAATGGTTGGACTCACATTGTCACCATATCAAAGATCATCAGGTGTATCAACACTCATTTCCAACAACACTTGAGGCAGGAGCGATTCTGACTGGCTATGGAGGATTGATGACTGAGATGGACGGTATTGTAGAGCAGCGCCTACTGCGATGCCAGGGGCTTGCGAGAATTCGTCGGCTGTGAACTTGCGCAAGTCCACGATGTCCTCCAGGATTAAGGGTTTCGGGTAGCGACTGCTAACTGCTGGACTGAAGTGGTATATCATTCCAGTCATTTCCAAATCTGTTTACCATGCAGCAGACGACGCCACATACAACGGGCTCGGCAGTACTCTATTTCTTGGTGCAACCGTCAAATGCTTCCATGCCTTGACCGTGCTCCAAGCGTCCAAGCTGGCCACCCCCTTCTCTGCGGCAACTCTCTGCAAAATCCCAATCGCGAAGCAACTTTTCCAGTGCGTTCAGCTCAGGAAGTCATAAGCCCGCCTTTTAGATACTTCATGGGGAGCTGCACCACGACTCGTGAAGTGCACATGTAGGCCTTCACGGTCGTCTGGTTGGAGCCTCGAAGGGTTAGAATGCCGCGCATGAAGTCCCCGAAGGTTAAGGGCTCCCCATCTTCGAACAGGAGCTTGCCTAGGATGTGGTGCGACTGTCCAGGTGGCTATGCGCAGGAAGACCAGAAACTCAAGACTTGGTCGAGAGAGATCCTCTGAGTTGAGCACCGTAATCCAAAGCTGCCTCGACATCCACCCCCAAGCTCGTCAGTGCGGTCACAGCCTATAGCACACAAGAACTGAGCATCGGCAGACAGTACAGTGGCTCGACAGCAGTCCGGGTTGAAACTGCTAGTCATGCAAAACAGCTTTGGTGGAACAAAGTTGATCAGACATTAGAGGTAAGTCATCCGGTCTTCCCAAAATCATGGAGACACAGCCCGTGTCTGTGAAGCTGGAACAGTCTTGAAGCAAGCTGACGCACAAATTCATGTGCAACCAAGGGGTCCATGCCTCCGGCTTTCGCAAGACATTCCTAGGGTGCGAGACGTGCGTCCATGTTTTCTTCAGCCGGCAGCAATTGAAGTCATTTCTCTCAGATTTTTACTATCAACCTGCAAGGTTGGGGGATGTCTTCACACTCATGTACAAACAAGGCCTCTTGACAGTCATGGCTCATGTACTCATCCTCCGAAATTTTGTTGTCTCCGTCTGAATCTGCCTCTCCTGACAAGGCGCAGGTGGATCAACATGATCAACAAGTGAACTAGGTAGCTTGCGCAATCCCTTAAAGGGATATACAGGGGGTGCGACTTGACAGAAGCTGAATCAATGCTAAAGCGATGCCGCCGGCGCGCCTTTGGAAATCATCTCCCAAAGGACACGCTTGGCAAAATCGACTTCCAGCTGTTCACGCTCGATGGTTGAGACCGTTTTGATGGCTTCAACCAACACTCCTCCATCCGGGCAGCGTTCTCATGCTTCGCCAAGGCTTTGCACACAAAGCACGCAGATCCGCCCACCTAGCAGCATGTTCATCACAGTGAAGGAGCCCACCAGAATGAACACCAACAGTAGCGCCGCCATCTCCCAGCTCTCCTGCGGGCATGGAGTACACCTGATCAATTCGGACGCCTTCAACACAAAATTTCCGAAAAAAGGCCCTGTGATGCCCCGTCCTCGCCAACACTCTGAATGACCTGCGCCTGATCCGTGAGGACGCACCCAAGGATGAGGGTTTCCACAGCCATACCTGTGTCCCAAGCTCTTACTTCATGTCCTTTATGTAAGGCCATTGCTCTGCAGGATTGAGCGGGAATTCGCCTTACCCTCTCGTCGTCGACTATGCCCGTACTCTTGTTGAACCTGTGTATCAAGTCCAAGCTGCCCATGGATGAGAAGAAGGTTCTTTCCAGATTTGTGCCCCTGCTGAACTGCATGAACGCCACGGCAAAAATGTACGTGACGAGCAGAAGCAGGATAAGCGTGAAGAACCTGTTTGTGGCAAGCAGCTTGTACCGGCATGCCACGTCGCTTGTTCAGCATGCTGATACAGATTTGTTTAGTATGCGCAGATGCTTGAAGTACTCTTGAAGTCCAAGTGTCACAGAGCGGAAAGCGACCATCATACCCTTCACGAGGATCATCAGCTCTGGCATCAGCCGCACCAAGCGGGCCATGCGTGCTGTACGCAGCACGCGCATGACCCGTGCGACTCGAAGAACGGAGAGCCCACCCGTGGAAGCCCCAGCTGGAGACGCGGATAGTAGATGCACCAATGGCATGCACCAAGTTTCAACGATCATCAGGGCAACGAGGAAGAGGTCGAAGAGGAACCACATGTCTTTGAGCGCATACACCTTTCGAGTGTACAGTAGGAACCGAATCAAGAGCTCTGCAGAGAAGAAGAAGCAAAACAAGTTCTCTGCCAGAATGAACCCGACGTCTGCTTCTGCAAGGACGTCTGCATGATTGAGTTCAATATCGATGCCAATCCATATTGCATTGAGAAAGATCACGGTCATTGTGATACGCTCGAAAAAAGGATGCAGTGCAATCCTGGGTTCCCAAGAGGTCAGGGTGTAAGATGCAAGTGCTCACGGTAGCTAGCCGAGGCTTGTAGAAAACACATGCGGACAAGTCTCCACGCCAACCATCCCTCCTGCAACAGCAGTTCTGGCAAGATTTTTTCATTGTGACTAGAAGAAGTAGCAGAGTTTCAAGGATGGTGGTGCAGTACCTACACCCATCCCGAAGCAGCCACATGCACTCACTTGCACGCGATTCTCATTAGAATCTGAACTCTGCAAAGCTCCTTCACGAATTTGTCTTCAGGCTGCTTTTCGAATTCTGCCGCCGCTCGATTGCGCACATTCTCTTTCGCGACATCGGCGTTCAATTGAGCAAGCCTGTGCAATCCGTGCATTGTTGACACACAGGGTTGGCAACCCTCTCGCGCTTTACAACTAAAGAAAGGAGCATCAACCCGCTATGTCTCACCAATCCCTTGATAAGGGCTACGAAAGCTAGACAATGCTTTTTCGTTGTGCACAAGGGCTAAGCTCGTACATCGCCTAACAACGGGGAGTAATGTGGGGGCCATGTGGGGTGGTGAATGCTTGACTGCTCAATGGGGGAGGGGGGAGGGGGGTGGAGGAACATTGATAAAATCAATGCTTTTCGGCGCCCTTAACTCTTATTGATAGCGAACCAGATGTGTAAACCACAACGACGTAAGGTCGCAGATTTCAGCGAAGGCGCATGCCATTCTGCAGCGCATCCGTGGCGTCCTTTTTGGCCTTCTGCTTCTCAGCAGGGGTCAACTGCGCAATGTCAGGCAACTCAGGCTCCTCGATTTCAATCTCCTCTGCCTTAGGTTTCTACTGGGGCCCTCCCACACACCGACATCATGAAAGCTATCCCTCTTGGATGCTGGCCAAGAGGGGCACATCAGAGTTTTGATTTGAGGACATGGCCCAGCACTTGGTGTTGACGGGAAAGGCTATGCCGCTATGGGGAAAAAACCTTTTTTACTAAGGAACCTTGAAAGGAACTCGGGACTAGGGCCCGGAAGTGACTAGTGGAAGACCATGCCCCCCATCCCAGGAAAGCCACCAAACGACCTGGTCATCTCCGACTTATCTCGTGCTGCATGTCTTCCATGCACCTTCACAGGGCCTTCAATGCAAAATGCTCACAACTCAGCCCACGACCGGATGACTCTCGTCACCCGCGCCGCTTTTGTGGATCCTTGAGCAGGTATGCGGAGCTAGGTTCCCAATCCCAAACTAAGCTGATCCCAAGCAGCTTGTTGCAGTATAACCATGCAAAATAGTTTTCGGACTGCCCTCGAACCACCCAAGACATCCCAAAGCTAATCTGCAGTCCGTGTGAACTTCTACAGATCAGGTTCCAGGACATTCGCCGTTTCCGCTGCTTCATTGCAGCGGCAGGCAAGGATATGGACACGAATCCGGGCTGCGGGGCAACCAAACCTGGCACACGAATTCTTAGCAACTCGTCTAAACTTTGTTGCGAGAATCCCACATTGCTGAAAACCCAACTGCGAGGCGCCCTTTTGGAGCAGGACTGAGCCCTAAAGCTGCTAAAAGCTGCTTGCCTGTTGCTTCCTTCTTCGCTGGTTTGAAGTCGTCATTGTTGCTCAATGCCCCGGGAAGGCGCAACCTTCCAAGCGGCTTCGAGAATTTAGGGTTTTTTTGGCATCCGACTAGCCACAGCACAGCGGGGTTTGAAAGTCAAATTTAGGGTTTAGGGTTCGAGATGCTTGGAGGGCTCAGCATGTGAGCATAGCGTGGCCTGAAGTCCTTGGACGTGCTCTCGGCCTTGTGCTCGGAGAGCTTAGGACGGTCTGGTGATGCGGACCTCGTCTTGGCTGTTGAAGATGCTCAGAAAAGTATGGTTTAAGGAGCACCCCTTCGAAGGTGTGCTCACCATTCCCTAACCAACACGAATGTTGTAAGCCAACAAGTTCCGCCCAAATGCCCATCTGTCGTGGGTGCTGTCAGGTACAAGGATTGGAGGCGTTTCACCCTCTCCAGCTCACCTGACGGAGATGTGGCTTCCAAAGAGAGGTCTTGCAAAGGGGGGAGCACCCATTGGGGGCACTACCAAAACAAGTCTCACAGCTGTGAGGCTGCGCGTCCGTTTCAGTAGAAGTCTATTCCAAAGATTGCCCGAGTCGCTTTCCAGCAGCTGCATATTTTGCTTCTGACTGGCGGCCAGCTTCGCCTTGAAAGCCAGTAGACCCTCGACGGCCTGAGCAGTCTCCTGGCTGGTTCTCAGTAGGGAATGAGGGAATGAGGTACCTATATACTCCCTTAAAGGGTACATATAGCATTGTTTTCGGGCCCTACATAATCCCTTAAAGGGTATCTATAGAAATATACATATATACACATGTGTATACGTATATATATATATATATATCTATATATATACATATATATATATATATATATTCATATATATGTATATGTATATATTATAATAGGGCCCTAATTTCCCTCATAAGTTCATCAGGTCTCCTGAACCAGGCGGTTGGATTTCTTCGAGGAGGTCCGGCTTGCCAAGCCGGAGTTCCGTGAGGAGCTGCGGCTGTGGATCTCATCCTTGGGAGACGTCTCTAGAAGCGTTACGAGATAGGAGTAGAGCTGGCTTAGGGTTTAGGGTTTAGGGTTTAGGGTTTAGGGTTTAGGGTTTAGGGTTTTTTTTGCCACCCGCCTAGCAGACCCCCTCTGGGATCACTCCGCAGGGAACAATCGTGATCTCTCGTATGTGCCCTCAGCAAAAAGGGCCCCGAGGCATCCCCATCACCATCTCCCCACAACAGCAAAGACTAGGTTCACATCATTCACCTCAAGGTGGGGGTGCATCCAGGCCGGGTTCTTCAGGTCACAGATTACCACCCCATAGGGTTTAGGGTTTAGGGTTTAGGGTTTAGGGTTTAGGGTTGCAAAGAACTGCAAAGAGTCAGGAGCTGTCCGTTGAAAGCCGAGTATCTGGGCCTTTGGGAGGCACGTGGATGTCAGCATACCCATCACTGTTGTCTGACGTGCAACGGCTCATCTCCTGCAATCGAATCGAGGGTAGCTCGAGAAGGCATGATCCATATAACATCAAACCCTTGCCTGGTTGCGAGGCAAAGCCCAGCCGTCGGCATCCAAACCTCAATGCGCTCGCGACACTTATAAACAGGCGTTCCAGTGCCGTGTCTGGCGGGCATTTTCGGGGAGTCCTAAGCCACCGACCACGCATTGCCATGGTTGGCCGCGCGAACTTGGGCAGCCGCAGAAAGCGCGAAGATGCGCCACGCCAAGTTCTACGAGATTCTACGTGCCCCTGGAGTACGGTATAGACGGTATAAGATGTCGCATGCAAAGGTAGATGCGCTTCAAGCCGAAACCTACCTCCACATCCACCTGCGATTTGACATACTTTGCAAGATGAGCACTAAACACCCGAAGCTCCACCGTGTTGCTGCAAGGACTTTGTGAAGGGCCGTCTACAACGGCTGCAGAGAAGCTGCAAGAACAACCTTCTCCACAACAAGTTATTAGCGATCTAACCTGCCCCTGCAAATCGATTGATGCTTTCACTTCAGCTTTGTTTTCGTCGAGTTTCGGAGTTTCGAGCATTTGGCTCGCTGTCCTGTCGCCGGAGGTGCTAGACTCTGCTAGACCCCGGAAAAAAGGTTCTTTGAGAGCACCGCTCGTTGCATTTTCCAGCAGTGCGAGTCACGTAGCACGATCCCCCTCCCCTTAGCATGGGGGGGGGCGGAAAATGTAAATTACATTTTCGGGCTCGGGAGACGAGGAGAAACAATAAATGTAAAATCCTATGCGTGGGATTGCTTGGGATATGAGATATGCGTGGGATTGCTTACCTTCCTCCCCTAGTTACCCTACCCTGCAGCACAAACCTGAAAATGTAAAAAATATTGTTTTGCATTTACGCGCCCCCCCCCCTATTTACATTTATTAAGGGGTGGGGGATGTAGCACGGGAGAATACTGGCCACTTCGATCGTCTTTTGTACCATCACCCAATATGACCCAACAAAATGCAGAGTGCAAAGAACTGCACATGCCACAACGCGGTCTGGACACAGGATGTGAGCGCCTAAAACTGGCAGAAGGCTTGTAGTGACGTGGGCTATAATGAATGGATAGTAACGGGCCTGATGGTATGGTCGGCCCCGCGTACAGCACCGAGGTTTGGGACTTCGGACGAAGCTTCACTTGAGGGAAGGACAGCAAGCCTTCTGCCGTGAATTCAACATCCTTTAAACGAATTGCTTGAAAGGTCCTGGGCATCCACACAACAACCTTTCTAAGAGAAGCCAGGCAATACCGGAAACTTCCCCACGGCTCCTGGTAGAGTATACTTAGAGCAGTCCATCACATCGCATGCAACTAACACACGTTCAATCTTGCGTTAACGATGGGACTATCCCTCAAGATGAGGAGCAGGAGGAGAAAGTTCTGGTGTTGCAACGCTCAGCCTAATCATCCAGGAGTGCTGGATTCTGGCACGGAAAGCTTCTGAGGCTCCTTCATGTCTTCGACAAGCCAAGAAAAATTCTCCGGAAAGGCAGGCATACCTGCAATCTCTGAAGGGGTCATCTCGCGGGCAATGATAGTGCGATGCCTTCGGAAATGGCTAAGCGGCTAAGCCGGGTAAGCACTGTCCGGAGCCGTCCTGGCACGTGAAGTCGCCTTGCGACCAAAATGGTCGTGAACGAATTGGCAAAGATGACTTAAGCGGCTGAAGACTCCAGGATACACTGACTTTGTTGGCGCGAAGCCCCCATTAAATGAATGCTGGACCATCCGGGAGCCGTCATATCTGGTCCCAGGACTGCTGGTGTAGGCAGGCCAGGGATATAACACATGATGCATGGTGCATTCTGACGAATTCCTGCAAGCACTGGCCGGGAAAGCTGTCACATGCAGCCGTATAACACGGTCAAATGGCGATAAAGATCCTCCAGACCCCTCAGCAATGCTCGGCAAGATTCCTTTACACGCACAACCATCTCCAAGCTCGCCAACTTCCCGGGGCCAGTGTAATCATGCAGATACAGCAGCTGTGAGCACAAGGCCACAAGATGCCACACGGCTTCAAGGCACCTCCGCATTCTCTTCAGCAGCTTTCCGAAGCACGTCCCGAGCTGGTGATGGAGGATAAAGAAGCATGGCTGGGCCGATGGTCGTTGTCCTTGTCGTGGAGAGGGGCTCCTCCCGGAAAAAAAAAGAAAACGGGGGACATGCGTGCATATGATATGCATCATTGCGTGAGTGTAGGCCTCAAGATCGATTCAGACATGTACGATACTTTCCTGTGCCGGCTTGGCTTGGGTGGGCAGCCGGCGGAGTTCGCTGAGGTCAAGTGGTGCTTTTGAGACATATCTCAAAGCTTCGCTGTTTGATCTGGGCTGCGACTAGCACAGCAAAGATTTGGTCGCGATGTTAGTGGTCCGCTTGTCACGTGTCTACCCCAGCCCACGTACCCGGCCCCTGTGGCGGCCTCCAGATACCCTTTTATCTTGCCGAGGATGGGAACTGGCGTTGGAGACTGCAGTACTCTTTCAGGTCATGATTGGACAGAGCGTGCAAATGGGGCGCAAACTGAAAAGCAGACAGTCAGACAGCCAGACAGCCAGAGAGTCAGCCATTTTCTTTTGGAGGAGACTTGGGTGCTCATGGGTCTCGTACCCAAGTACTGTAGAAAAGTGAATCTTCGCTGAAGTTGGGTAGTCATAAGCTTTTTGGATTATGTGTTTGAGTGTCTGCGTAGCCCAAAGTGTCTGAGTGTCTGACTGGCTGAACGTTTGCAGGTCCTGTATCTCTCACTGTCTGAGTGTCTGACTGTCTTCTCTTTGTAATGTGCAGAGAGCAGAGAGTTAAGCAGTCAGACAGTTAGACTTTTCAAGTCTGGAACACGCAAGCCGACCTGTTCATGTCTAAATGTCTGAGTGTCTGAGACAGTAAGACTCTTCGAACCCGGAATACACAGACCAGCAAGTCGGACAGTCAGACAGTCAGACTCTTGAAGTCCAGCATACGCGGACCGAGATCAGACACTCAGACAGTCAGACTCTTTAAGGCCAGCTCGCGTCTGAATGTCAGTCTCTAAGACCAGCTCGCGTCTGAATGTCTGAATTAGCGGACCAAGAAGGCAGACAGTCAGACACTCAGACAGTCAAACTCTTCAAGACCAACTCACGTCCGAGGGTCTGAATGTCTGAGTGTCTGAGCGTCCGACTGTCTGAGTGTCTGACTGTCTGAGCGTCTGCTGCAACCCCCTCCTCGCCCCCAATCCATGATTTCCTTGCATGTCCCGCAGGCTTGCCGCATGAGGGATGCATTATGCCCTGGTCACAGAAAGGCCAAAAGGCCTCCCAGGTCTGCTACAAGCTTATTTTGACTTGCTCCGTAGGTCGGAGATAAAAGCAGCAAGAGCGACAGAGCGACAGAAGCACCAACGCGGCAGCACATCACGACGTGTCAGTCCTGGTGCTACAACGTACTTGCACAAACTGCTCAGAATGTCGTGGATGTGGGAAAACTCGTCTGCAGTGAACTTGCGCAACTCAACAATGTCCTCGCAGGCCCAACGCATTGTACTTCACCATTGGATTTAGAACAGTAGCAGGTTCAATGGTTCTCAAACGGGCCTTGACGGTGGTCTGATTGGAGCCCCGCAACGTGAGGATGCCCCGCATGAAGTCACCAAATGTTAGCGGCTCGCCATCTTCGAACAACAGCTTGCCTAGGAGGGCTTTTCGTTTAACGAAGTACGAAGTCGCTCGCTCTCCCACTTAAGGCCGGCAAGGTTCACAGGTCATCATTGGTCAGACTACGTGCAACAGGTGGACAAGCACCAGCAAAAGTCAATGCATTCTAGCAGCGTGTCGTTTAATCAGTTTAATCTAGGGTTTAGGAGAATTCTCCGTGCGACGACTCTTTACTTTGCCAGGTCTGTTTAAAGTTCAGTGCAGACTTGTTCATCATGGTCAGTTCCCTTAGTCCCTTGAAGGTCATCTTGGCGCAAGATTCTGGGGTTTAAATCCACCCCCATGGGGGCTCAGCTGATCAGCTGAGCTGCCATAATCCAGGGCAGCTTCCACATCGACTCCCAAGCTTGCGAGGGCCGTCATGGCCTGACACAGTGATGGCATGCAGGAAGGGGTGACCGTCTCTTTTGTGCTCTGTTTTCTTGTGTGCTACGTTTACTTACAGACTATTTGTGTGCGTGTGTGTTGTGCGGGTGCGCGTGTGTGTTTTGAGTGAGTGAGTGAGTGAGTTAGAGAGTCTCTGTGTGTGTGTGTGTGTATGTGTGTGTGTGTGTGTGTGTGTGTGTGTCTGTGTGTCTGTGTGTCTGTGTGTCTGTGTGTCTGTGTGTCTGTGTGTCTGTGTGTCTGTGTGTCTGTGTGTCTGTGTGTCTGTGTGTCTGTGTGTCTGTGTGTCTGTGTGTCTGTGTCTGTGTCTGTCTCTGTGTGTGTGTGTGTTTGTTTGTTTGTGTGCGTTTGTGTGTGTTTGTGTGATTGTGCGTGTGTGCGTCTGTGTGTCCGCGTGATTCTCTTTGTGTGTGTGTGTGTGTGTGTGTGCGTGTTTGTGCGTCGGTGGTTGTGTGCACTGCGGGGGAGCGGGTGGGGGTTGGAGGTGTGGGCGGCTGCGAGCGCGCGGGCACGCGCGTGGGTGTGCCTGTGTGAGACAGATGCTGATACCTGCAGCGAGCACAAATGTTCTTGAGGCTCCAAATGCTCTGCACTACAGCATTTCCCCACGTGCAAGTTCACCATTTCGAGGAGTCCTAAGTGTTAGTTGTGGTTTGTCCAAGATGCTCTCAGCACTCCTAGTGCTCGGAAATACAGCATTTCACACAAAACGTTTCGATGCACAGGCTACGGAATGCCTCGTCATAGCTTAAAGTAGCACAAAACCATGAACAAATTCTTTCAAAACCGCTGGTGAACAGCCGACAATCCCTGATTGCAATTGCCGTTCGATGCCCTGATTGTGCCTCCGGCGTGCGAAGCACTTTGCGGTATTCCTGTTCTGAGATCCTGTTGTCTCCATCCTCATCAGCATGTCCTTACAGGTCAGGAGCGTATTCCCTTCACATGTGGCAAATTGTTTCGGGGACTTGGTGGCAGAGCCAAAGTGAGCATCAGGCCTTTGTCAATCATCTCCCACAGGACCTTCTTTGCAAAGTCGACTTCCAACTGTTCCCTCTCAATGGTCGACACCGTCTTGACTGCCTGCATGGGCAATCATGGGCAAGCCTAGCAGCATGGCCTTGGCAACGACTATAGGACTAGGACAGGATTTACACCTTACATCACCTTACATGGACGGATTTACTGAATCTACTGTCAAGCTCCCCAAGAAGCCTCCACCAGGACTCCGAGAAGCATGTTCATCACAGTCAAGGACCCGAACAGAATGAAGACCAGTATCAACGCAGCTAGGATCCAACTCTCCTGGCGTACGCTTTTGGTTGAGGAGCTGTCGCACTTGAGCGCGCAGCGCTCAATCAAACTCGGCCAGCTTTGCCAAAGAAGATCAAGAAGCACAGACTTACCTTTGACATGTGCACCTGTGATACCACTTCAAAGCTTGCATTCTTACATCTCTTGGCTAGCTTCTGGACACCTCTGATGTGTCAAGATTAGGCATGATCTGACCATTACCATGTGCTTTCTTTCTTGATTGCAGCTTCAGCTTTCATGCTTTATTAATTTATTAACATTGCAGTACGCTTCTTTCTTAGGTTTGGGTGATCTTTCCTTCTCAATGTTGCAGAAGATCAATCTAGCAGGATTGGTTCTGTTTTGGGCATCCACTTCATGAAGCATCTGGGAGTTTGCCCGTTGGTGAACCGGACAACCGATTTCGTCTTCTGCTCACGCCAGCGGCATGGAGTCCTCGGCGACTGCCTCGATGATGACCTGCTGGTCGGTGAGGATACACTTCCTGCAGAGCAAAGAAAGGCGTGTGGAGCAAAGCGAGGCGTGTGCAGCTCTAAAAGACGCAGCGGCCAGCTTTGTTCGCTGCCGAGACGCAAGAGCAACGTCCAAATTGCGGTGCCCATGGAGCCGAAGAATGTCGTCTCCAGAATGGTTCCACGGCTAAACTGCACGAAGGCCACGCCTCAGTGCAGTAGGATGGCTGCGAGGGGCCTGTTGCATACGTATGCAGGCGTGGCCAGGGAGCAACAAGCGCGCAATAGTGATCGGCAGCCCAGGTGCTGAAAACGTAGGTAAACATCAGCAGTAGGACCAAAGTGAAGAACCTCAGATCAGCTGACATCCCACAGCCACAGCAGGCCGCAGCCGTTACCTCTCTTGCAGACTCTTGCTTGTGCAGCATCAAGCAAACATACTATGCGTTACTGGCGACTTACGACAGACTCTACAATGCTTGGCTTAACGTTGACCTCCGCCATTCCCGCTGAGGAGCACGGAACGGCATGCAACCATCATGCCTACGGCCACAAACAACAAAGACTGCGCGGCGTTCTTTCCACTGCAAAAACAGTATGAACTGCACAGCTTGTTGAGGTGATCGTTTTGTGCATGTGCCACATGTTCCCTTGCGCTCTGGTCAGGATCTGCCAGCCAGAAATTCATGCCTATGTCTCATACTGCAGTCGACACATTCCCTACTTTTCCCCTCAAATAGGATGCAGCCTTTGATCAGAATCATCAGCTCCGGCATCAAACGCACAAGGCGGGCCATTCTCGCAGTTCGGAGCACTCGCAGAACCCGCGCGACACGGAGAACCTGGGAACAGTCAGCGACTTTTTTTGTGTCACTTCTCCCCCCCCCTACTTGTACCTTTCGGAATCTTGTTGCTAGCTCAGTGGCAGAAGCGCCTCCCGTCATAGTGTCGCCGGTTGTCGCTGAGATCGCATGCGCCAAAGGAAAAAACCAAGTCTCGAAGGACATCAAGGCGACCAGGAACACGTCAAACAAGAACCAGATGTCTCGTAGAGCAGAACATTTACGCGCGTAAGTCCACAACCGAACAATAAGCTCGAAGGCAAAGAACAAGCAAAACAGGTTCTCAACGATGATGAAGCCGACATCAGCTTCAGACAAAATCTCAGCCCTGTTGAATTCGATGTCCACTGAAATCCACATGGCATTTAAGAAGATGATGGCCATAGTGAAGCGCTCGAAGTAGGGATGCGTGGCAAACTCGTAGCAGCGCCCACTCAACTCCACGACTTCTCCCGCTACCGCCTCTCCAAACTCATCTGTGGCGCGTTTGCGGACCGCGCTGCGAGCAAGCTCGGGATCCAGTTGGACAAGCCTGGGCATTCAATGCACTCACGCCCCACAACACAGGGACCGAAGAATGGAACGGACACGACGTTAAAGCATAGCAAGCGGCATGCCCTTCTGCTGCTGTTCATCGGCATCCTTTTTTATCTTGGCCTTCTCATTTCGCGTCAGCTTCTCTACCTCCAGGTCAAGTCTGGTGGGCTCAAGCTGCCAGTGCATGTGGTGCGCAGTGACATGAACTTAGAAAAGTGCCTCAGCAGCATCCAGCAAAGATGGAATGGATTCCTGAGAAGCTCAGCTATGTTTGGGGGCATGCCATGGCTTGAAACTGCGTAGATGTAGGCAACCGGAGCATTCTGGGGTTTTCTTCCCACCTGTTTCACACGCGTTTACGGGGAGAAGGTCAGAGACATATTAGAGCCCAAGTTAAGATGACAAGGTGTGCTTCGGGCAGGCCCCAGGGCAGACAGTCCTCACAGAACAGCAACCAAGCAACAATCCAAAACCATAGATATTCGAAACAAGCCCTGGAACGCCCAGCCAAGAAAGGGTTTAGGGTTTAGGGTCTGGATCATCCTGTTTCAGTGCCTCACGTGCGGAACACACATCACTGACACTTGCGTTGGATCTCTTGACAGGCTGCTGGTGCGGCTGGGGATGTCCTTGGCTTGAGAAAAACTCTTCCGAACTCAGGGTCCATTCTGAAAGGGACAACTCTGGCTCCCCCGAATCCGTGCCTTTTCAACTATTTCACGACCTAGCGTTCCCGGGCTCAAGGACTCAGATGGACTCAGAAGGCAGAAGGGAACAGGAAATCATAGGAACCCCAATCGGACAGCAGATGCAAGCGGCTTCGGAATCCAAGACATTCGGCGCTTGCGTTGCTTCTGCACTGCTGGAAAGAGAGCTCCGAAGGAGAAACGTTTCACCTGCTCATTGCATGTGGGGCTTTCCGTAGGGGTACCTTATGGGGGGTCCTTATTATAAGGGGATCCTACTATTTGGGGGTGTATATTAAGGGTCGCGTTTGTTTCGAAATTCGAAGAGATGGCACTCCCTGTGAAAGCAAGCATGCCACAGCTTACGTCGCTTCAAGACCTCTAGCTCACTCCACTTCTGCAGCCGTCCTACAGCAGGGCGGGGGCCTCGCTCGCGGTGCTGCCTTGGCTTTTGCGGCCACCTGACACCGGAATCGCTGCGGCAGCCGCTGCAGCCGCTACGCCTAGATCTTGCAGGAATGACCTATATATCCCAAGAGTCCAGTGCAGCTATGTTTTTTTGTACCTTTCGGCACATGCACGAAGTGGTCTCATCACTTTTGGGGCCCTGGCTTACGTTCGACATATTCTGGATTCGGTCGAGTTCATCGTCCAATTGTTGCAGCGTCTTCTTTTGGTTGGCAATGAGCATGGAGCGGAAGGAGGTCAAGCTGTTCAGCGCCCGTTGAACTTCAGAACTGGGTTCTTGCCAGCTGCGGTTGCGCCTGAAGCCGGGATACTGCACCTCCTTCCGTGGCTGAGGTATGTTTACGCAGTTCGCGTTGAGAGATTCCTCAGATGAGTCGGAGTCGGAGCTGAAGCCATCCTCTGACTCATTCTTGGCCCATGCTTGTGGTGTGCCCTGGACTCCCTGGACGAGTTCTTCATTCTTTGAGGAGGCCGGAGCATCGTCTCCCAATCCGCTGGTCTTCATCCTTGCCTGGACTCTCTGCTCCCTTCAGGAGGAAAAGCAGCCGGCAAGCTGTCCAAACCTGTCTGCTCTGGAAGAGAAGCCGAAGATCAACCTGCAATATCGCCAATGCTTTTGCCTCAGTGAGATGCAGCAGGTGCCGGGCTGCGACTGTGTTGAGCTCGAAGGCCGAGGTCGAGTGTGGCCATGATTGAGCCAGCAGGAGCCGCGGTCCAAGGTGTCAGTGTCATGACATGTCACGACAGAACCGCTTATCCCCTCCCCCCAAAAGTAGAATCTGCCAAAACAGCCCCTTGAGGTCTTGTTCATTTGTTTTTTGGGGGACAATCATCAGGTAGCCGGGAGTTCTGACGAAGGGCATGGATCTTTCCATCACATTCTACACGATGCAAGGGAAGCGTATAACCATGTCGAGCAGGACCCTCGCCTCACTTTTTGCCTGCATAGGTATGGAGGAAGTCACACCCACGCCTATGCAAAACACCATGATTGCTTTTCTGCTGCTGGGTGAAGCCTGAGCTTGGTAATCTACTGTTTGCCACAGGACGCGGATGCAACTTCCGAGTCCATTGAAATCCACCGAAACGGTCACTTGGGCTCTGGGCTCCACTGAGCTCTGCCACTCGAGGGCATCCGTGACTCCGTGATGCCGATGTACTGCGGAGCTGTACACTCTGTCAACAAGCCAAATACCAAGCATCACCTGCCCTTTGAGAGCCCAGCCTCAGCTCACACCTCTGAACTGCTCCTGCGCAGCGTTGGCGACAAAAGCGCCCGAGAACATCTTCAGTCTTGAAAGCAAGTAGGCTTGGGGAAGGCCACTTGGCATTGCAGGCATCCTGAACGACAGCCAGTCTTCGGCCGCAGCTCAAATTAGGGGGTTGTACGAAAATTGGGGAACCCCTAAACTAGGCCCTAAATACAGTAGTAGGAACGAAGGACTACTGTACTTATGTTATGTGGCCGCATGCCAGGCAAGTCCAAAGGCTCCCAAACCTAGAATATCTGGCGACTGAGGACCAGCGAATGCACCCCTAGCATAGCACGTATCTGGAATGCTCGCATGCGCTTCTTTTCTGATGCTGTGCAGTGCTTCTACGTGAGCTTGGTTTCGAAACGGTTGTGGGTCCAGTTTCGCGGTCCTTGCCAGAAGCATGCGAGAAGGTCTCTGGATAGTGCCCAATCTAGTCCTATCCTGTGCTCCGAAAGAAGGTCACATATGGCATGTAAGCACACATGCGACAAGCAGCAATAGGCTGTTTAGCTGGACAGATGATCTGGTACAGACAAAGTCTGTTTGCTCAACGAGTTTCTACATTCTCTGACAAGGGGCAATTTTTATCATACTGGCAGGTGCACACCACACCCTTCAGTCCCCCATTCTTCCGTACCCGAAGTGCAGAGGCCCCCTTCATACTGAGACGACATATTCGTGCCCTTCGAGACATCCTTGGTGGTTTCGACAGGCTGAAAAAACAGATGCCAATGGGCAAGGTTGTTTCGTTGAACTGCATAAACAACGTGACAGCATAGCAACAATCCACCATTCCTTGTATCAGTAGTGTACCAATATACTAATTACTATACAGTATCATACTACAATCATGTAGTAGTAGCAGTAGTAATAATAATAAAATGCAATAACAATTTAGTATTACTACTAGCGGAACAGCGCATATGCCGCCTCAAGCCAAGGCACAGGGGGACGTTCGCACAGACGCGAGTGGACCGCAGCCCCCCGCATCCACACCCCCGTCTCGGCCTAAGCTTTGGGGCTTTGAGGTCCGCAGCTTGAGATGTTCCCACTTATACTAACAGTCCTTAATGGGGACTGTAGTCCTCCCTAATATAATCCTTAGAAAGGACTGTTGGGGGGGAACATCCCAATCCAGATCTTTGGATGAGTGTCAAGGGCAGAAGACAGATGATCCCTCAACAATGTTGCCCAGCTACAGCAGCACGGCATCATCTCCGGAACGACCTTTGGCAGCTTGAGCATGTGCGGCTTGCAGATAGAAGTTCTGTACTCAAGGCGAACGTTCCGTCCTTGCTGGAGTTCTTCTTAGATCTTTGTGAGGGCTCTGGAGCAACCTGTGAGCTCGCGCTCTCTCTTCCTTTTTCTCTGCTTATGCTAAGTTATTTGGGTGAGTGTCCCATTTCTTTCTTCCCTCCTTTGCCGCTTTGTTGTTGCCCTCGCGCGTTCACCGTAAAATCAAGGAAAGGCAGTCTGCTTGGGGTGTGTGGCGCATTCATCTTAGATGCTCGCATCGTTCTTGCATGTTCTCGCCCCCCTAAGTTAACTCCATCATCACTTGCCGCTCACAAGCCCTGCGTGCTTGGGCACAGTTCCCAGGTGAGTTCAACAACTCCATCGCCTACACTTTTGTTGATGTGATTTGCTCTTTCAACTCCGGCATCGGGCCCTATTCCTATTAGAGATGCATGCGTATTCATGCAAGCGGGCGACGAACCGTGCAGGTGGGATCAAGTCTCGGCACAAGCCTCGGCAACGAAGTGCACAACACTTGGCCTGTTGTGGGAAGTTCCCTGCCAGAACGGCAGCTGTATCAGTCGCAATACAGGAAGATGAGACTCTGAGGCCGGGGCCAGAGCCTTGAAAGCCATCAACGCACGAGAGCATCTTGTAGATTGCTGGTTCGAAGCAGATGTCGTATGCCTGGAGCCCATCTGACATCTCGTTTGCCGTGTGGGCAAAAAAGGATCCCGCGGCATCTTATAATGCCTCTTAGGCCCAGTTCAAAACCCACACTCTCCATCCAGCCATCGTCAAGGTATGTCAAGTTATGTCAAGTTGTCAACAATGATGTCGAAACGGTGTTGCGGACAGGAGGCTTGTTGTAGAACGTGTTCTACCTCGGGCATCGCTGTGAGATTGTCATGCCAGCCCACTGCGGCAACTGGGGCCGGAGCTGGCAGCATGGCAGTTCCACACACACACACACACACATACACATGCAAATGTGTTTGAGATCTATCAGCAGTGAACTTGGCCTATCCTATCCTTTTTGCAGGCCATGATTCTTCGATGATGCTGCCTCCTCGCTTCAGGCAGACACTATGGCAACAATTCTGAGAAGTCAGTTGCATGCAGTATCACACAGGCAAGTGCTCCAGGACAACGGTATCACATTTGAGGGTGCAAGTGCAGCACTCAGCTCTCAAGTCGGACATTCTCAGGAAGCCCGGTGCTGCCAAGGAGCGCGTTCGTGAGCCGCACACGTGAGTGGCATGCGTCGAGCGGGCACCGCAGCGCAGGGACTGCGGGATGCAGAGCCCCTGCCTAAGACAATCACATCACATGCAGCTAAGCTAACCCTCTGTGTCAAGCAGTGTTCTCCAAGGAGCTGGATCTTCGACCGCAACGAACCTTAAAAAGGCAGCGTGGCGAATGAGTGGAGTGGAGCATCTACGGCTGCAATGGGCAACATTTGAGGTTGCCAAGTGTTCTCACTAGTATTTACCTAGGTGCATAGCTTGATCCTTTCACCCCGGCTTCTGAGCCTACATGAAACTAGGGCCCCTGGTGTTCTGATTGCCCCACAGGCTCCCAAGAACCCCAAACCCTGTGAACAACGCGCAGAAGAGAAGGAACCCAGGAGGTCAGTCAGTTCGGGATACAATGCCGAGGGTGACAAGTACGACAGGTGGCTCGCATCGAACGATGGCGCTACCACCACCGGAGTTGGGCGTTCCACCAGGCGTTCGCCGACCTGAGCACAGGCAATGCAACACAGGAGCATCCGAACGTATGGGGGTTTCGGAATTTAGGGGTACCTTATTGGGGGTCCTTATTATGAGGGGATCCTCCTATTTCGGGGTCTATATTTATTGGGGGCCCCCTATTTCGCAAACCCTCGTATCCCGCAAGGCCCAGTGTTCGCCGCGTGGCAGCACGGCGGGCGCTGCGATCAGCGCGAGCACGCCGTGGGCTGTGGCGGGCACCAGCAAAGCGGCTGCGGCCTTCCGGCATTCTCTGCTCCCGGCGGGCCAGGATACACACTGTCTCAATTTCAACTGACCGCCTTATTTAAACTCTAAACCCTATGTAAAGCCTTTTGAACCCTAAACCCTCATTAATGTCCGCTATACAAGTTAAACTTTTTTACCAGCAGTGGTTTTGCCGGCGGCCGCCTGCGCAGCGGGCAGCGCGCGGAGTGCGCGGAGTTGGCTGTTGCGTGCATCTGGAACCCATTGAAAGCTGCTCCAAGGCCTGGTTGCACAAGACTTGGAGGTTCATGGGTAGGTATACGTAGGGTTACAAGTATCACTATTCTACTTAGAACCCCACTTAGGGTGCTTATCACCGTACTTCTAACTACCCAATGAACCTAAAAGTAGGATCATACTATGTCTTTTGGTTGCTTTGGGGTTACTTGTGGGTCTGAGTATATACGACCAGCTATTAAGTGCACGTCTTGTGGGCGTTCCGGACATTTCCTGACTCTGGTAATTGTGGTAGAAACGACTAGCGAAAACGACTTGCACAAGTGTCTGCGATACGACTTAGATACCGGATGATACCGGTCTTGTCGTAGGTCGTGGAGAGTTTTGGAATGCCTGAGCCTCGTCAACAGTTCTGAAAACATGCAATGAAGCTGGAAACTCGTAGCTGAAATGAACACATGATATGGTTCCGATGTCCAGGGCTTCGAAACCTTTTGGTGCAACTATCTTACGTCATGCCCAAACCATGCTGCATAATCAAACGCCGGCCCTATGGCTACATCTTGATGACTTGCCAAGATTTTGTCAAACGTGCGCGGCTTGTGGCTAATGGCTCGGCTGATTAAGGCTGATCGTCTCGGGGGTTGCCTCTACTACAGTAGTACCATCACAGTCGCCAAGCGAGAGAAGCAAGAAGAATAACAGAAGACAGCGATACACGCCTCCACTGGCTCACTGCATGCTGACCACAGCTCTGTGGGCGTCTCTGTCACGTCAATCAGGTTGATGATGCTGGGGAGCTCCTGACAAAAATGGAC